CCAATCCATAAAACTACTAACAAAGTAAAAAAATTACAAAGTGAACTTCATTTGGTGGAAAACATATTCATATAACCAAAATACAACTCCATTGATCGAGGCACAACACATAAAATCAATTCAAAATACAAACACAAAACTCATCTCAAAGTTGCCTTGATATTGTATCTTAACGTAAGATGTAAAAATACCTGAGCCATATATTCAATAAGATTTATAAGAGGTCTCAGTAGTCAAAGTTTAGAATAACAAAGGAACAATTACACGTAAGCAACATTCCCATACCATTATCTAATTGTCCAAAAAGTCAATTTTTAGAAAATATAATTTCAAAGCGAGCTAAAATAACACGATCAAAGTCAATTTGCTGTATAAGACAACAATGCTTTAGAAAAGTGATACATAGATATACATCAAGATAAAATAATAAAGCCATTGTTCAGTCCGTTGAACGGTGTATCGCCATTTCAGACTTTGTTATGAAGGATAATATTAAGCTCCATATGAATACAACTGAACATCAAGTCTCCATCGGTACCAATGTTTAAGTTTACAACATACAATTCTTGAAATAGAATCTACAACAATGTTCTTCGTTATAATCCATGTCATAAAATTCTTTAAGGATATCTTGTCGAAAAATACCCAGCGCGAAAACAGATGATGAAAATAAATGTACATATCATCATACATTAGTCTACCCTCTACATTCGTTCGACTTCGCTTCTTAAAAGAGAGTTTCGTTCATAACTAGACTCTGCACGCAGGGTAACATTAGTTCCACAACCAGAATAAGCTCTGAGGCCTGGTTGCAAGTGAAACAGAAGAGCAGGTCTTAGAAATTGAGTATTAAAAGCAAGCCAGATAGTCACTAAACTCCCATAGTTTTCGCCCCTATTGGTACCACGGGCCAATATTTATCCAAACGGTTTACAGTCTTGCTCAACACATATTCGGCATAGATCAAAGCTATTGCTTATTTACTAAGGATATTATGCTGGTCGTTTGGTAAGTTTTGATTTTCCGTCATTGGAATGGTGAGTAAAATAAACTTTTAGATTAATTGCATAACATATCAATGACAATGGGCGAGTAGAGATTTGGGTCGCGTGTCCTTTGAATCGAGAACTAAAGGGAAGGAGTTATTCCTCAAATCTCCTGAATAGCAAAGCCAGCCACATTGTACACGTACAGTGCTGAAGAAAGACCACAGCCTTGTCTTTTCCGATTTTACATGGCATAAACATTATACGACTGTATATTATTTACGCAACAACAAAGTTAACAACGTGTTCTGTAACATGCGTGCTGGACTGTATGTTATAAACAAGTGTATCTGCATGCCAAGTTATGTAAGTACTTGTCACATGCATTTGGTACTGCAGGTTCATGAGTATATTAAGGAAGTAAAATGTGCAATAGCTGTAATTCTGAAACACTGTTTTTAATTCATAATGATACATAACTTACATAGTCAATGGACTTGCACACAAACATTATTTTCTGAAAATATAAAAGCTTGAAAATATTCCTCACTTGGTGATCCGTATGACAAGTTTCAAATTGATAAAAAATATTTGCACCTTTTTATCAAGATGTCAAGAAGGAACTGTAATCTTTGAAAAATCCTAAAAATAATCAACATCTAATTAAATATCTAAGATAATTATTTCATAATTTTAAAGTTAGAAATTATCAATAATTAGATGCAAATGCCTAGTTCATTTGGAAATTAATTGCAAGAAATGTGTCAATTTAGGAAAAGAAGCATGGTGAATGTGAGGGGGAGCAGAAAATGGATGTAATTCTGCATTATATTTCAGTCTACATCAATAAATATTAATAAAATATATCAAATAATGACTTACTAGGAAACAAATAGATAATATGTTATCCCTGGCATCGGATCCTTGTAAAATACACTTTAAACAACAATTTATCCTCCAAAATATGTCGCTATCATTTATCATTCTACTGATGATGTGAAGTTACAGTAAGATGTATGATCAGGCCACACACAAACTATTTATACCCCTATCACTATCTATTTTACCACAGCATGTTTTGTATTCATACCCGAGTATATAATTAATGATTTAACTTAGAAGAAATGCAACTAAGTGAAATTGTTTCTTAAATACTAGTTGTAGTTACATTTACGCGTTTACGCATGTTTAATGCTTACTATGTCTTATTTGATACATTCCGTGCAACATCCCACGATGTTGACCTTTTTAAACAAAATACATAATACTAAATATGAGCTGAAATGGGTACCCTGGAATGTGTTTGTCAGCATATTTTGAAATTACGTTTCTCAAAAGCTTTGAGGAGTTGGTCCAAACATTAAACAAGAGTCTACAAGAGTTTGGGTTGTGTTTTACTACGTATAATATCCTCCGTGTTTGGTGTATCAACATCAGTAAGAAAGACTGTTTGATCTTGTTCAATGGTTAAAATAAGCATAAATATTGGGACATTGTAGGCCTTTGTCTTCAAGTGAATGTTTTGAAATTCATACAAACCACACTTGGTTCAGCCGCGATGTGGTACTATACGTGTTCGAGCTCCATTATGAAGAAGGGACTGTACAAGTATGATCTTCAGAAAGAATATTTACCAACGAATATGGCCACACAGGTGTTTCTAGTTCTAACACAATTGACGCTGATTATGGTCAGACTAACTAAAAAAGCTTGTATAAACTAACTTGAAAAAAGTTTAAATAGATAAATAAGGGTGAAGAATACGTCATAGATTGCTAATAATAAACCGTATTGATACTGATCGAGATGAAAGTTCCGCCGCGTTTACTTGCAATGTTGACTTTCCTAAATGGAGAAATTGCACTTTTTCAACTGAACTTCTGTTCTTCAAAAATTTAAATTGTATGTATATTCTTCTATTCGACACATAGGAAACGAACTAAGCCAAGCCATTAAATCTAAAAATAAATTGATGATTTCTAATTGAATGGATTAATTAAACTCAATTTCCAATTATTACTTCAAATAGAAGTAGTAAATGTTTAAAGTACCATATGTAAAGATTGAACATATTATTAATTAATTATTGCATTAATTGTTATATTCGGTCCATGTAAACATAACTCCTAAAGTGAGAACTGTAGCAGAAATCTCCAGTATATACAGCTGCTTGTAGGACCTATAAAACCAATGCCGTTCTTTAAAGATACCAACAAAAAATTTGAACAAAAATATATCGATATATCAATAATTCATTGGGTGTCATTTCGGGTAACCTTAATTAAAATGGCATCCACCTTTATAAAAGATAAAACCTTGAGATGTATTATGTATGCTATAAGGTAAACATAAGAGAATTCCAGTCTCTAGCTTCATGTTTGTATATTATTTTTTGCATTCTGAGGGACCCGTTGCTCGTCTGTGTGGTGGGATGATTTGTCTGGAGGCTACAAAGCAAAGTAGATACTTTAACATGAGAGGGTATACAGTTGCCCCTGTGGATGTAACTTTGGCATCAAATGATCCTTTTCTATCGGATTAGGTTCCTTGAGAAGGGTGCTAGAATTCACAAGATTAAACACTTCAGAAGCACTTACACATTTCCAAAATAAATATCCCATTATTAAGAAGCTAAAGAAACGGAACTTTTTATATTTTGACTTCAATATGAGTGGCGGTTTTTTATATACAAAAATAATCATATAAATTTTATGAGTACATAAATTATGCGTGCTAGAAGTAATTGTAATTACAAGTGCATCGTGCATATTATACTGTACGTATACTTGTAATATTACGCATAACGTAATTATGAATAGCTGACAACAGTTTTAAAATTCAGGATTCCTCATAACGTAATCATGAATAACTGATAACAGTTTTAAAATTCAGGATTCGGAAAGTAAATTAACAGAAAAATCGCGAAAGATGCTCCTTGGTATGACAATTTGTTATTTTATAACTATTATATTGGGTCATTTCATATGAATATAAAACGTAATGACTGCAAATTATAAGCACTCGTCGTACAATTGTAAAGCCACCACAAAACATTAGTAAACCGTACTTCAACAATAATATAATCCAATTGTATTCTAGAAATATGAATACCATATTTAGATTAATAATTCAGTAGATAGGATTATCTTTTGGAGTGTGAAATACTGTGATTTTGATTCATTATTCCCACTTCTTATCAAGATAATTTCTAAAATACAATTCTGGGCACGATGATATGCTTTTATACATTTGTATAAGTGTCTATCCGTTTAGATTTCTCGTGTGTTTGGATTGTACCAGATGCATCTGTTTTATCAATTCAAACAGTCTCTAATGGACTATATTAACATCTGCATATTCAGCAGCTTTCGCCATGTAATTCCATTCAAATTCCTATGACCCGTGAACTATAAGTTAACAGGATAAACTGTTCAATAAAATGAAATAACACAAATATTTCACCACTGACAATTATGGTATTGTTTATGTATTACTCCAAATAAGAATTTATTACAGTGTTAAAATAACATTTAGTAACATGTGATTAGACCATTGATCACTTTATACGCAGATGTGATATAAGCTTAACCTATCTAACATTTAAAAAGGAATTAACAAGTCAGCCACATCTTTACGTTGAATTGTAAGATGTTGGGGTTTGTTTTCCTGTAACGGGTTGTTTTTTCGTTGTTAATTTTCCTAACTCTGTTTTAAGTACTTTTTTAGATTTGTACCTATGGAGATTACGAGTTTAGTTTTGCTTTTAACATAAATATACAGTATAGTTTGAAAATTTATGAATTAATTGAATGACTTGTATCGTTTGGTACTTGCTTTAATTAATCTCTTCCTTGATTATTTGAGGATTAACCAGGTAAAACATGTCCTGCTATATTCCTGACTTTAATCGAATATTCTTATTCCGTGATAGAATCTTGCGTCGACATAATTGGAATTCACGTGTATAAATCTATTCTTATTCTCTAATAATATGTTTTTGTAATGCATTTCCAGGATTGGGGGACGCATGGGGCAAGCATCCTGTAGCCAGGGACCCAAGGGAGAAGGAATTGGGTTCTCATTTACTCCAGGTAACGTTTTACTGTTTTTGGAATTTGTAGTTTGTAGAAATTGCTTCGAATAGTTATATGTTTGTAAGTTATTTTGACATTTCTTTTTTTATTCACAATGAATAATAACATATGTAGTAAACCTCACAACCTAGTACCCCCTTGGGATCAAATCCAAGTAACTTAAAACCATTCTTTTTTATTACTCACATGTTAAATTCACCTTATATCCCTTTGAACAGTTTCTGAATAATTGTTGAGTAATCTTTAAATTGAAAATTTTGTCCAGGCATCTAAGAACAAGTTAGATGACTTAATCACTTGAATGATGTTTTATCAATAAATACTGAATTAAATATTACTGTGATACAATTGTATTACCCTTTGTTAGCATGCCAAATAAGCCGATCACGCCTATCAAAAATATATATAATTTATACCATTTTTGAACCGATATCATAAAACATATAAAAGTGTATAACAATATTTTTAAATTATAATATATTATATCATTTTAAAGAATGCGAAATGTGCTTACTACAAATTGATAACAATAAATGGGCTGAAATATCTCATCAACTTTGCCTATACCAACATACTGATCTACAGTAATTTGACTTTTGAACTTTAAAAGTTGCTAATATATGTGATTTCTTTATTCCAGACATTAGATGGGTTCATCTTCGTCGTCGCACCAGATGGAAAAATTATGTACATATCAGAGACAGCATCTGTCCATCTAGGACTATCTCAGGTGAAAATCCTTTCTGATAATCTGCATTCAATTAGTCAGTTCAAACGCAACAAGCTCTGATATTATGAAGATACTTCTTTTTTGATCTGACTTCTTCTTGAACACCAAATCTCTAAATCTTTAAACATCTTGGTATCTTTATTGAAAAGATGGACACGTCGTAGTGTGGTATCTTCCTAATAAAAAGGTTATTTATTAGTTTATATTACGTTAAGATAAGTTAATGGGAATTATTGACAAATGCTACAGATAACAAAGTTACCATGGCCACAATCACCAAACATGAATGGTTTTGGAAAATAACATTATTGTATATATTTATGAGGCTTGACATTTTTAAGATCTCTTTGGCTAAATATTGTGGTGATATTACTCAATATTACCAAGATGCGATATGTAAGATAAATTATGTTAAAGTATGTTTTTGAGCATCTTAAGTAATTTTTTAAAATGTGACGCATCATGAATCTAGTCAATATAAGTGGTTTCTTCGGTATTGCAATAGGGCAAGGGGCTATTAGAATGGTCTGTTTAGATAGCTAGTCAAATAATATTAAATTCAGTTCTATATATCAAGGAGTTTTTTTCTAAGAAATGTCCAAATTAACTTTTTTAAATATCAGAAAAAGTATTTATTTACAAATAGTATTAAAATTTTGCTACATTTAAAGAGTATTAACTGACTATATTTTTGATGACACTTACCGGATCTATGTAATCTTGTTTAGAGTTTGGAATATCTATTTAATTGAATAATGCTCTTTTAGTTTCCTCTTTGGGTGTATGAGTCGTGTTATATTTAAATATTGTTACAAATGGTAAATTGAGTGGAATGAGTAAACAACATAAGCTGACGTCATCTGTTAACAGGGAACCAACCTTATCACACTTTCTCAGATGTCTTCATTCAAAATGGCCACCGTCAACAGGTTATTTTGAAATTGTCATTACAGCTATAGTATAGGGGAAGATATAATGACATCATACTGAGAAATATCTGAGCACAAGTGCCAAAGGGAAATTTCAAAAGTTACAATGGAACCTAGCGAGAAAAAGAAAACTATGTGTTTATCAGTCATAAGAAAAACAAACCCCATATATCCCAAAACCATGATCTAACTTGAAAAGAACGAATGTCCCCTACTAATCAAGGACCAATATCACAAACCAAGACCGGAACACCAAGGGATATTTCATTTATATTGAAGTCATTAAAATTGAATGATTTATATCCAGGTGAACTACTCCTTTAGGAGTTGATAATGCAAGAATTTTCATAAATTCAAAAAAAAATATGATGTGCAACATACGCCCTGCTATGTTAATATATGTATAGGCAACGAACAAGTCCCAAACAGCAGTTTGAGCGAAAGTATCAGATAATGTTATACATGGATGAATGTCCATAGATTCCCCAAATAGTATAATTGACAAAAAGTGCTTTGAATTGCAGGTTGAGCTAACGGGTAACAGTATATATGAATACATTCATCCAGCAGACCACGATGAGATGACAGCTCTCCTTACCGTCCACCAGACCTTCCATACGCATGTACTACAAGGTAAGCCCAATCTCGTATACCATCAGTGTTTAGATCATGTGATTTTGTGTTGGTTGTTGGGACTAAATGGACGGGGCCTATCGCAGCATTCATTCATAAAAACTTGAGAGACATTTTTTCAACAGAAGGTCATTATGGTTCCATTAACTTATGCAAAATTGTGAGTTGAGTCGATTGACTATTTTGTTCCTATGTAAGTTCATACATGCATTCGGCCATATTGCTACATAAGTGTATGCATGAATATTGGTGTAGAATTGAAATTTGTTCTTGCATGACATAACATATGCCGTGAATTTCAAAATGAAGCCAAGCAACGCCCAAAGGGTTGGATCTCAGCCCAAACGGTTGGATCTCAGCCCAAACGTATATATATCATTATAGAAACTGATGCAATAATTGACAATGGTAATATTGTGGAGGATTTAAAGCTTATGTTAGATATGATGATTTTAAGCTAACAGGATTCTTGTGAAAGGTCAGCGGCATTCATACCATTTCCTCAGCTTGTTTTGCTAGGAAATTGGCATTGTGCTGCATACATAGCCTCCAAAGATAGACCTATACGCTAATATCCAACCCATTTAACTTCTCATCTCTTATAGACAAGCCATTATCTTTTTAATTTCAAGTGCCTTTGATCAAAGAACGCGGCTTTGAAAGAACAACGGGGGAAATTTAGCTTTCACAATACGCTGAATTGATTTCTCTTATTTGCTTAAATATTTCTCTATACTGATAATCAATCCTCCAACGGATGGCTCAGCATTGAAACAAGATAGCTAGAAAAACACTCTATTATAAAGCATTAATGAACATGTACATTTGGCTATCTATTAGCAAGTTAATTACATAATTAGATGACGGTATAGACAAGTTGAGTACCATACGTATAAAGGCTACCTCCATAAACCGTGCTAAATTACCTTACCCCGTTCCGTAACTTTCTAGAAAATAATTTATTTGCAAATATTAAATATAGTCAGATGGTCATCTCTTCCGAGCACTGGACATAATTGTTTCAAAGAACCATTATCCTAGAATTAATTGGCCTAAAATCAAGCAATCAAACATCTAATTAATCTTTAATTTCTTCGCTTTATTTCGAAGAACATTGAAGACATGAGAAAACGGAACCCTCTTTCCAGTTCTAATGAATTCTGTCAGTTGTGCTTTTAGAATCTAGGGATTCTAGGCTACAATGACTTCCATTCTTGAAAAGCTGGGATCTCAGATCTATGTTCAGATGTACTGAAATGATTTCTCTCAAGATTGCACTCATGATTAAATGCTAGTCTGCCGACAGATGTCGCTAGTCACGCAATGGCTATTGACGCAAAGAGGTGTTAAAACAACTATTGATTACTATAGAATATTAAAAAGTAACTATCAACGGCAATCTATGTAATGTTTACAAACTGGGTATCGACTGTTTGTATAATCCCAGGCGGCCCCTTTGAAGTCGATCAAACCCTGGTTATGTGAAGCAATGCCATTGTCTGCCGATATCGAACGCGTAGCCACTTTTTCCAATGTCCAACATTTTCCACTTGCCATTAAGATACCGATTTTAAGTACAGAAGCAAAAATAGTTTACTCAGTGCATGCTTCCAAATTTCCGTTCCCTCGCTATGATCGCTTGCATTGAACGATGATTGACAGGTCATTGTGACGTATCGAATGCCATAGATACACCAACAACGCGAGAGCACAACTAAATAGATTGAGCAACATGCAACAAAATAACAGTTTTGATTATATGCACTGCGAAACGCTTATGATTATATTAATTAAATACATTATAATTATTGCTATGAATAAGTATCAATTTAATATATTTGTAAAATGAAAGATGCTTGAAATAAGTTTTCAATTTAATCTGACAGTTGTGTTTGGAGATAAAAATTTTATGTCTACAATTAAATAAATACGATTTACATTTAAATATAATGCATTTTAAATATCATCATATTTTTTACTTAATAATCTATTTTTAATTTATTTATACTTGTAGATATAGAGATTGACAGATCATTCTTCATAAGAATGAAATGTGTTCTGGCGAAGAGAAACGCTGGACTGACGTCAGGAGGTTACAAGGTAAATGCAACACTACTTTAATAACAATGTTTTTGAACTATAAAGATTATAGTATTATAATTAATTTACAATTTATTAAGTTTAATCTTTGATCTTTTCTTGAAAACATCCTCTACTAAACCATGGGATCCCCATTGGTTATTTAGAACCGCACAAAATAATTTTTATTTTTAATTACTTATTTGTACAACAATACATATTTATTTGTACTAATTTACAGTTGTAATTGAAATAAGAAATTATATAATATGCTAGTCATTGAATTGTAAAACAATGAAAAAAAGAAGAAGTGGAGACATGCAGTATTGTTATCGTCTCCAACTTTTTTGTGGACAATGTTCGGTGATTGGTGTTCGGCCTCTGTAACAAATGGCAGGTGATGAACTTTTTCACGTTAGTGCCATGTTACTCATTGTTTTTGTTGCATTTTAGGTGATCCACTGTAGCGGGTATCTGAAAATCAAGCAATATACCATGGATATGGCACCATTCGATGGCTGTTACCAGAACGTTGGCCTAGTTGCCGTGGGGCATTCCCTGCCACCCAGTGCAATCACTGAGATTAAAATGCATAGAAATATGTTCATGTTCAGAGCAAGTTTGGATCTCAAATTAATCTTTCTAGATGCAAGGTATAGTTATTTCAAATATTTATATATAAAAACATATTAGAAATAGTGTACAAATAATTAAACAATCTTAGATTTTTTTGATAACGTTCCAAAGTTTGTCAAAGACACAAATCAGCCTGCAAATGAAGCAAAACAAAACAAATATGTTTTGCTAGATGTGTTGGGATAACTGCCAATACCCCATCTTTCATTGGTGACTAACTCCTTTGCCCCATTGAAGGAGGATTGTTTACAAGAGGCAGTAAAACTTACTATGACAAATTACTCGATCTTTAACAGATAGAATATCGTTAAATCATCAGTTGAGATATTTGGGGTTTTGTTGTGCAATTAATACTATTATCAATTTGTTTGACTGTTTTTTTGTTATACTCTTTCTTTCCCCTTTTGGCACATGTGCTTTCATATTTATAAGTATCTTATTTTCCTCGCAGGGTGGCAGCATTGACGGGATACGAGCCTCAGGATCTCATCGAGAAAACACTTTACCATTACATTCACGCCTGTGATATCATGCCAATGCGATACGCACATCATATGTGTAAGTATAAACTTTTCAATAATTAAAAAATATTTTAGCGATCTTAAAGGCATTGCATTGCATTATCATATACTGTAACTATAAAACATCACCAGTATACTGTCGTCCTGTACAAACAAAACAAATTGTATAATTCTATAAATATTTAAAATTCCTATTTTGCTCTATATATAAATAGTCCCGATTTATATCAAACCGAGTATTATTTTAGAAAGTCTCAGTTTAGTGAGGTAATATTTGAGGCTTGTTTTTCAGTACTAGTCAAGGGTCAGGTTACCACAAAGTACTATCGTTTTCTTGCAAAAGATGGCGGCTGGGTCTGGATGCAGAGCTATGCAACGATCGTCCACAACAGTCGTTCTTCGAGGCCTCATTGTATAGTCAGCGTCAACTACGTGTTGAGGTCAGTACATTGATACGGTAGTTAATATCTTAGCTGCAGTTGAGAGCAGTTGAGATAAATATGTTGTAATCGGTGGCAGTTATGATATATCATGCAAAAATATTTTAGGGCACATGGCATTTAAATGTTATTTATCTAAAATCATCTGTACAAAAAAGTACAATTTGCAAAATATACCTGCTAATCAACAATCATTGGTTACTTAGAAAGTAATACCCGACTCATTCTCCTGTTAGTACTTTATTTGTTACTTTTAATTCGAATGCCGAAAGAGTAAATCGCGACATACTCTATACTGAATCATTGGTCACCTTTGTTTTAACCAAAGCTCTTGTTTTTTCAGTGAGATCGAGGGTAAACATCTCCAGCTACAACTAGAACAGACTTTAATCAAAGAAGAATCTCCATTTGTTGAACACAGAAGTTCTAAAAAGAAATCTAAAAAGTCCAGATATTCACCGTACAATCCTCCAACGACTCAAGCGACATCTAGTGAAACTACTGTCGTTGAGCGCGCACCAGAGGCCACTCCTTATGAATATACGCCCGAGTCTCACCCTCACGTGACTGGATATCCTCCAATAGGATACACACATCCTACAGACAGTATGGGAACGTATAGCGCGTTATATCATCCGGCGTATTCTCATACGGGTATGTACCCAGATGGCGCAGCTGGTGTATATCCCTACGCAGCTCAGCGGTTGTTAGATGAACGGAATTCATATAAGGGAACGTATGATCCGGAAAAATTCTACCCAGGGGCAAGAGACGCTTCTGCCGTATATCCCCCGTATGTTCAAACGCAAACCCAAAGCTCACCAAATGGCGACGGAAGGGAAACAACTTATGGACAAACGACTTACGATTGTGCCCAACCAGGTCAATGTAGCAGGAGTAGCAGCCGGGATGCTAGTTACCCTAGCAACGCCCCACTAAGCCATAATTACACAAATCCTTATAGTAACCATAGCAATCGATCGGAAGGCTCTACTTCCGAACTAGAAGGGGCTACGGATGAAAGACTACATCTACGCAATGATAGACAACATAATAATAACATATTAGAGACATCATCTCACAGGCTACACAAAGACAAAACTTTCAAAACTTCAGACACAGTCACGAACAATCAGGTTGAACAAGCTAGTAAAGACAATACTGGGCAGCCGTCTGTGATTATGAGGCGACCAACAGTGACCCCTGGTGAGAAAACGGAGAGTTCAGTGTCCACATATCACTCTCCAACTAGACTGAAATCTATACCAGATGGCAGCACTAATGCCCCTAAGTCAACAAGTAGTCCCCATTCGTCGCAAAGTTGTATATCACTAGGGGGAAGCTATCTTACTGCGCAAAAATCGGTTGATTTAAGACTAACGGAAAAAAGTGTAGCCCAAGAGGCTTATGCAAGTTGTCTGAAGAGTCAATGTAGTTACGATTATAGTCAGTCAGCGAGTTATCATCCAAGTAACTTACAGACCCAGAGACCCTACTCCATGATGGCTCAGCCAGGGTACACTAGTGTAATAGTAGATGCCCACGAGTACCATATAGCAAATGGATATGTTCACTGACGTACATGATACATTAATAATATATGGGAGACATCTTTAAGTAATAATTAGGGTTATTTCACAAACTGGGTAACGTACATTTTCCGGGTTCACTGACAATAAAAAGCTTTGTTTCAACATTAGGTCTGATTTCAGTCATGGGATTTTAAAAATTGCCCAATGTGTTCAAAATTTCAGTTACTGCACTGAATTGTCTCGAAATATTACCATAATTGTAATATGGAATAAAAGGACCAGGCTATTTGGACGGTGACTACGGCACGTATAATCACGCAATTAATTCCATTAAAGTGAATCAAAGTTTGTCTTCTATCATGTACGTTTGTGAATAAAACTTGCCTCAACCGAATATATCTTGCAAGAAGATCCCGATATGTGTTTTCGCAATTAATTATGTTCAAATAATTTAACCATTGTACGAGTATGTTGAAGCTTTTATTTAGGTCGACATTGAAAATGGCAGTCGAGTAAAATAATTTGATTTAGATTTCAATGTTTTACGTTTACGAAGTTGTTTGTTAAAGTCTAATTGAAACCCCATGCTTTGACGAAAAAAGTACATTTTCATATTGAAAATGATTATTCATTCTTTGGAAATCTCGAGACGTATAGAATCATGGAAAGTGGATTGTCTAAAGGTGCAGCATAAAGATAGAAAGTTAAAGATAACTTCTAAACATTTGTCATAAATTAAATGTTCAATAGATTTTTACAGACAGCATCTCTTTAATAATTGTCTTTCCTTTTTCATTAAAAGAGTTTCTGACATATTTCATTGAAATTATATCACCTTTAAAAGGTATAATATGTGACACTTAAGGATGCTTTTTGTAAAGATTGCTTCCAATATTTTTTGTGTATCCTTTACTGCCCCTTTAACGATTTATGGCCAAGTATTTGTAATTCATAGTTATCGTTTCGTATGTGTGAGTTTTTAGTTTAGCATAGATTATAGTTCATTGATGCCAATGCTAGTCACATGCCAATAACATAAAATGTGTGGTAGAACATTGAGATTTGTGCATTACGTTGGAATATCAAATATTATCTGAACAAGAATGTATACTCAGACACATAAGTTTGGGAACCGGGAGTTTTTTTGGATAGCAACCCAAAGCCTTTTTATGTCTGAATCTTCATTTTGTTCCTTTGATACAGAGGATGTTGTTACAATACAAAAGAAATTTGTGAAAATATCCACACATAGATGATAGGCTTTGATTGGTAATACAAAAGAGAACTTGCAGTTGCGGAATTAATTGTGGGGAGTGCCATGTGTGTACCTTAACTGAGTAATTTGATTTATTTACTTGTGAACGTCTCTTTATACCAGAGCTTAAAAGGTGGCTATTTATCAAAAAGATGAGTTGTTTTGAAAAATATTTAGATTGTGTTATGCAATAATTAAACACTCACTGTCAAAAAAGGCAATAGAAAGTCCCCATTTTGAGCACGTGACCTGTATATTTTTGGCGAGTGTAACAAATTCATCGATCTTTTCAGACCTGTAAATGAGGAACAAAATTCTGTTGTCAAACTTATGAAGGATGTTTACAATATTGTCAAACCGCAGAAAATGTACATCTGAATGATGTCTAAGAAAATATAAGTTATATTCACAATATGCATTGTACAGTAGGTCAGTCTCGCTTTGTAAAGTTAATAACTGTTGATGTATATTGATTTTATTTGAGTCATTAAATGACAAAATAGTTATAAACATCAAATTAATATTTGTGTTTGTTGATTCTTCACAACGGTAACGATAGATGGCGTAGGTATGCTACAGGCTCAATACAAGTCCCAATGTTAAACTGACAAAAGAATATGACGAACTGATCTCACTTTTTGAAAACTAGACAACCCCACTTCCATTCACTCTACATTAACAGCCATTAAATAAGACAATAATTACTGTAAATTAACAGTAAAAAAGTCAAATTGTTATTCCGTTCTTAAGATTGATATTTTAATTTTTCCGAATTGCATTTTCATTCTAATTGGGAAATAACTTTATTTTATATAAAGGGGAGACAAAAAGTGACTGAGAATTTTATTAACTGCTATTGCATGGCAAACGTGGACAAGCTATTTCGATCTCCCTCGTTTCTTTATGATATGGAAATACAAAGGATGAACCCCAAAATTTCCATTTCCGAATTTTATTTTTTGACCTGCTAGGCAATGTTATATTTATTTAAGAGCGATGGTTTTAGTTTTACTTCTGCTTTAATCTAACAGAGGGACAAATAGAAAACAGAAACTCCACAGAGTAGCAAATCCCACCGCACAAATTATATTTCTTTAACTACCTCGTTATTTTGGACATTACATAATGGCAATAAAATTTGCATCAAGTTCTATGACTGGTATTCAAGATATTATAAATAATTTTTTTAAAGAACTATGGCAGCGCTAGCCATTTTGGATGAGCTGCCGTCTTGAATATTCCTCCTTGAGCAGAGTCTAATGTCCCTAAAGCTCCGCATAAAAATTTGAAACAAATTACATTTATGATGAAAAAATGGTGACCATTTTGAAATGAGCGGCCATATTGAAAATGCCTCCCCGAGCAGAGATCCTTAGCCTATAAGATATGATAGCCTATAAATTTGACATTTAAAATTTAGTGGGCATCTAGAAACTTTCCTATTGAGCTAGCTAAGCTCCCATATCCCTAGCTATTAGCATATGAAATTTAAACCAACAATGACTTTGCGGCTTAAAACAAGATTTCAAACACATTCAAGCTATCTTATTGGGAATAGGGGTTGCCTCCCCCTTCGGACATCCATGTTAAGGGAGTATTGAGGCATGAGAGGACGAATTTATTTACTTCAAAACTCAATTAAAAATCATGAATTCAAAAGGTGTACATGTAAATTAAATAACAAGCCACAGGGTGAACAGAATCGCAACCTTGAACAGAAAACACTTTTCGGGATGGAAAATTCAAAATGGCACCTTAACATTTACCCAGACTGCCTAAAAACTAATCAGTTCTAAACTTTCCATAGAAACATCTCTAAAATTTTAGGATGAATCCACGAAACCTGTAAACAACCCTCAAGAGACACGTTTTAAGGTTACTTCACAGTGTATCAGCGTTTTTTCTTGAAAAAAATCCTGGTAAAATATATACTGATGTTTTACAAAATATGTGAAAATTGGAAAGATTGACCGTTTAGTTGTTTCTAAAAAATGTTTTAATTCAACATTGCTCTCAATGGGAAATTCTTTTTTATTTTTTAAAACAAGCCTTCACAGAGACGATTTTAGGACGAAAAATCCCGAATGGCCACCTTAACATTTACCAAGAATGCCGAAAAACTAATCAGTTCTAAACTTTTATAGGTAAAAACATCCCTGAGAATTTCAAATGAATCCCTCAAACGGTTTGGCTGGAAATCTGTAGACAAGCCTTGACAGACAAGATTTTAGGACGGAAAATCCAAAATGCCCGTCTTAACATTTATCCAGAATGTCGAAAAACTAATCAGTTCTACACTTTCATAGGTAGAAACATCCCTGAAAATTTCAAATGAATCCCTCAAACGGTTTGGCTGGAAACCTGTAGACAAGCCTTGACAGACAAGATTTTAGGACGGAAAATCCAAAATGGCCGCCTTAACATTTACCCAGAATGCCAAAAAACTAATCAGTTCTAAACTTTCATAGGTAGAAACATCCCTGAGAATTTCAAATGAATCCCTCAAACGGTTTGGCTGGAAACCTGTAGACAAGATTATTCGGGACGCCCGCCCGCCCAACCGCCCGGCAAACTGATTACAATATAGCACCTTAGGGTGCGATAAAAAGTGTATATTCTATAATCCACATTAAATATACGTATCAAAATTAAAAAATAAGCTCATGTTAAATAATTAAATATATTCGTAAATTCAAAAATAAAATGCAGTAATTTCGACTTGCGTTTGATAAATACAGTGAACGTTTTATATCATAAAATGTAACGCTTAATCTCAGTCTTTAGCAATTCGGTTTATGAAGAATTATATCCGACATAACTGATAAAAATGTAAACCAACAGTTTCATCAGTGCTAGCAGCTAGTGGGTAAGCAAGGCTTATCATTCTAAGACAAACAAAAACATATATAGTTAATAAATCATTAAAAGTGCCAGATACAAAAACAAATATTTCCTTTGCCACAAATCAACTATCTAAGCCATGAAAAGAGAACTACCTCGAGATACGTTCGAATTTCAATATATCCCTTTGGCAGTGACGTTTTAATCTTTGATATTCAATTGGCAATTACTGCCTTAGAACATAACGTGAAAATATCAAAGTATTTAAAAACTCCAAAATAATACTCTGATTGAAATATTTCTTGTAAAATAATACATAAACGTTTGATCCTGGGATATTTGTATATAAAATTGACATTGTTTATGAGACATCCATACAGGGTAGGACATATATAGGGTGTCTCAAAACATGTACCCAAAAGTAAATCAACAGCATAGACAAACCAATAAATAATTTGAATGGTCTTGTAGTCAAATCATGAACGTTTTTTCTCCAATAAACAGATTTTAATTCAGTTTTGCCTTTTTGATACTTTAACCCGTTACCTTTTACACCACATATTCAATGTAACCTCATTTTTGATGATTTCTGTTCGGATGCTGGTCTTAAGTTGTTCTAGGTCTCTTAGCTTGGGTTAAGCATAAAAATAGTCTTTCAAATAGCCGCAGAGAAAAAAGTATGGACCGTCAAATCTGGTGAATAGGGAGGGCCCCCACAATGTCTTAAAGCCCCCTTATACAGAGGTCAGACGTTCAAGAAACTGCATGGGTTTGGATTCCAGTGTGGCCTTTGTAGTGTGTATCAATCTGAGACCCTTGTGTTTTCATTTGGATATCATTTGGTCCCCAGGCTAGCCTGCATAACTCTGGAGGGTAACTCCTGAATCATTTGCAGGTAATTGACCCGATTCTCTGTGTTTGTTCTGACATCGTCATCCTCAAACATATTTCTCTTCGGCTATTTGAAGGAGTGTTTTAATGCTCATTCCAAGCAAAAAGACCTCGAACAACTTAAGGGCAAAATCCAAAGAGAAATTCAAAACATTCCATCGGAATTATTATCAAATTTGATGAACAATGTGGCAGTAAGGATACAGGCTGTCATCAAAATAGGAGGTTACATTGAATATTTGATGTAAAAGGTTAAGGGTTAAAGCATCAAAAAGGCAATACTGAAATAAAAATGGTGTATTGGGGAGAAAACGTTCATGTTTTGGCTACATGACTTTGCGAAAAATGTCTGAAAATATCGATTGGTTTATCTGTGCTCTTGATTTACTTTTGGGTACATTTTTGAGACACCCTGTATATTGATCATATGTAATGAAATGGTAAAGTTAAATGAGATTTTTTTTAAATAAGTAAAAACAAGATCGAAAGATTATAACATGTTCAGATGTGGTCCTTTGAAACTTTTGATCAGCAATCCATAAATGAACAAGAAATAGTATAAATCACACCTAGAGATGCATTGTTTGAGACAGAAAGTGTTAACTCGATTTTAGCATCAACAATACATAGCATAAATCATTAGCTCCAAGATATACTGCGCTAGCATAGAGAGGATGCAAATATTTCCGATGTGTAAATGAATTAGAAATTTTGAAATATAAGTGATGCTTTCAAAACATTACAATTCATTATATTGCAGAGACAGTTCCAAAAAGTGAAAATTATAAGTTGCAAGGCAAAATATGCAAGTTAAGTTAATTCATGTGGCGTATAATCTCCATGTATTCAGAGAGAAATAATCTCGAAATAGTTGCGTCCCAACAAAAATCGCATGGCGTTATTACACACATAAAGAGCAAAAATCCAGATGTCAAAAAATTGTATGGCTATTTTCTGAGAAGATTGTCGATCTCCTTTGCCAGGGTTGCCATTTTTCTTTAACTTAACTTCTCAATCATCTTCTGGGAATAGCCCTGGTGAACTGGTAACATCAATATCTCTTTTCTCAGATTGGTCATTATCTTTCAACTCAACGAGAGATCAATAGTACACAGAACGGAAACCTTTGATTCTTTCACAAGAAAATTAGAATTTTAAAAAATTACAATATGTCACATATTTTTGAGTATATAAGCATGTTGTGCAAATGGATCCAATTACAAAGTCCTACTCTTGCAAAGATGGACTATTGTGCTCTTATTAATACCCCTTATGTCCCCCATGCTAAAAATCAAATCATATCCATCTATTTTCGTCACCATTTCTCTCTACGTCCTCGATATGAATCTAATTTTCTAATAATTATTTTGATTTAGAATCTATTTACTCTATATTCCATGTTAATGTCTCGTTATGATTATAACTTTGGTTATAAATCATTGAATACGTGAAGCCTCACTAATGGGCATCCCTATTGCCCCTCTTCAGAAGAGCACGTCTTGTGAATGCTACGCCAATCTCCTATTGTTTTCCTAAAAAGCTTAGAACTAGTTCAAATCTCACGTAATAAGACACCAATTGTTTGCCAACTCTAAATACTTTTTTAGCAACTGTTCTTCTCTCTTTTAAATTAGCGGTTTCCTGTATTCGTAAATGAATGAGGTAAGTGCTTTCAAAATGGCTTTTAACGTTGACCTTCCGAATAGGTTTGTAGAGAAAATCAAACTCACTTTAGACCATCCCATTGCATATAAATTGCATTCTCACGACAATAACTTTTTAATCAAAAAGACAAAACCCATGATCCTTCTTGAGCTCATAATATTTAACCGACCTAAATTCTTATGAAACACGTGTACAATTTCTTTACATAGTTCTCGTCAATTTTATGCAACTATTTTTCGTTTTTATCTAAAGTAACAAGTACGTTCAGTCAGAAACTCGGGTTTTTAAGCGCTGGCGATTTTCTCAATATTTTTCATTGTCATAAATTCTAGAGAAATCCATACGATTTTCAAAAATGTACAAATGCAAGTCAAATCATTGAGATTAATTGCAACATGTATTTTACAATTGTACAAATTTAAGATTTAAATATACAAACACTCCATCTAACATTATTTTAGTTTTTTAATCAGGCCATGCTAATATTACTAGAAGAGTCCATGGAACTTAACAAAAGGTAATATACGTGTGGATATGTTTATAATTCTCTGGCACCAGATTTTTCAAAAGACAAAGCATATCAAACAATCTGAAAGAATGATTAAACCATCTTAGTTCTCCCCGGGCAGTTCTCAGAGTTCTTCATTCAAGCCATGCAAATATAACTAAATGAATCCATAGAGCTTACAATACAATTAATGATGACTGTGCTGCCATCTTTTGAAGTTCAATGAACTCATTGAAAGATATATGTCAACAAATTGAATATTTGCATGTGCCACTGTACAGGGTGACAAACATTTCAACACCATTAAAAATTATGTACATTTACATGTACATTTAAACACAATGGGATGAGTTAAATAAATAACATGTTATACAATAAAATAGGCTTGAACTAGCAGAATGCACAGGGTACTCTCTTATGAACATGATTTAGTACATAATTCAAGTCCTCTACTTTCATTCTAAAAAGAATGGTATTCATACAATACACACTAGTTGGCACTACTGATACAACGGTTGAATGAAACACAAAATATTTTTTGGCTCATATGCTTGTTTATATATCAATATTATGTGCCGTTGAGTGTTCAGCTGTGACTTCAGATAAGGCTACTAATGTACAGTACATGTACACTGTATGTGCATAGTGTTCAATGTTATTATGACTGCATGTTGAACTTCTATCTTTCAATAGTTTGTTTATACACAAATGGACGACCGCTCTGTTGATGCATCCAATAACGAAGATCATGATTTGCCAAATAATCTGTGTGACTGTGAAACAACACTTCGGCAGACGATCAGCCAGAAAGTCAGTCCTACTGCACCTGAAAAACATTGATCAGAGTGACATCTTTACAAAAATAAATTATTGGACGTTTTACAATCAGACTGTACACAGGCAAATGAAGCCTTATATTCTTTTTTTAAACGGGTATTTTGGGGTCAGAGTTGAACAAGTTTAAATAACATGTAGGTTTTTCAAAAGAAGTTTGTATTGAAGGACAAAAATCAAATTTAATAATTACACATTTATTTGAAATGGCAACTCGTAAAAGACTGACATGAGTTGGTAATTGAATGTAATGTATATTTCGATATTCTGAATTTCTGGTTTTTGTGAACAAAGAAAAGCAATATGCAAAGTCCATATATTTACTGAGAGGAACAATATTAACAAAGTACAAACATCAAATCTGAAATATGAGGCATTACATCCAAAATGTCACCACCTGTCATTTGTTACAGATGCCAATCGCCAAACATCAACCATCGAACACCAACCACCTACTGCGGAACACTGTCCACAAGCAAGTTGGAGACCATATCAAAATGTAAACTAATATATGAGGCTATAATGAAAAGTGCACATACCTTCAATACCTGTTGGGAAGGCAAGTATTTTCCATAAGGGCCATGGAGTGACCCAATCTAAAGGCAACATAATCACAGGATCAGCTCTATATGTTATAATCAAACTCAAGGAGATAATAATCTGGAAAAGAAGACAGCAATATAATATTGTAAAACAGTATTTGCTCTTCATATTTTAGGACCCAAGTACAGAATTGTAGTTTTTACAAGTTTGCTGGAAAAGTTTTTTCCAGATTTACTAGGTTTATATCATATATACAGTAAATACATGTATCTCTTTTAAAAAAACAGGCAAAATAAAGATTTTTAAAGACATCAACTGTTGCAAATGGATTCAAAGTTCAAAACTACCAATATAATACCCAATAAGGGTAAAGGCATAAGTGGAGATGAATGGCAGTTTTACTTTGTTCAAGAAATATTGATAGAAGGACAGACAGAAGGACGATTGAACGGATGGATTCCAAAGGCACTTGAGCAAAAAATAAATACCATCAATGCTGTTACCTGAATTGCTTTCAAGACTCCAGATACTAGCATTTTTACAGCAACAAATACATCAGATCTTGTTTTTGCTGGAAATATACAAACATCCCAAATATTTAAACAGAAAAACATGGTACTGGATATGACTGAATATCCAAATGAGCACAAAAAATGAGCATAAAAATAATCATATGTACACAAACTTACATAACCGTATGGTGGCCGTAGCTTTCCAAAATCAAGATAAATATGCAGCACAAAATTCAGGTTTATTGTAATAGTTCAACTTAAGGTTGTTTTTGCCAATATATAGTAGATATACCTGTAGTAGATATATACTGTAAATAACAAAGATGTTAAGTTTAGAAAATCTGTCATAATTCTACATCAATTTTGCTGTTCTCATTCCCGCGGGTGTCCCTTTTATACTCCTATATGAATATGGACATATCTGCAACTTCAAACTTCAAATCTTCAATCTTAAGATTTTAAGGAAGATATTGCCATGCTTTTTCAAAGATTGCTTCAAACATTTTATACTCTCTATCGTTTCTTACTTCATTAATAAGGCCATAAGAAGTAGATTCTTTGCTTTGTTTCCCCTTACATGCACGATTTTTAGTAAATCAGGAAAAACAAACACATCCAGATAGCAATCACAAGGGTCTGAAAGTACCATAGCATTTCGTTCAATCAGAATCAGACGAAATGGCGGATAATGTGATGTGTGTCAAAACTGAAAGTGTTATTGATTACTTTGGCATACATTGTGTATTTTCTTATTTTTACCCTTGAATAATAGCTACCGTATTCTCTGTAATTACCGCCCACTCTCTAATAAGCGCCCACCCCACTTCACAAAGTTCAAGAAACATCGAGGAATCAACAAGAATTGAAGAATATATCAGGAAAAAAATATTTCTCAAAATCCAGGATCGGGCGATAATAGAGTACTTACCCTAAAACTGCTGTAAACACGACGCGTTTTGTAATTCTATGCATCCTCTCGATACATATCTATCGATGGGTGCTTCCCACACCATACCATGCTAATATTGTCTCAAAATAGTCCATAATGAATGAAGGAATTGTTCTTTATCGGCATTCAGAAATTTCAAAAGCTACTGCGCAGATGTTCTGCGCATGTCAAGGTCGTGAACTTTCTGGTTTCTTTTTAATGTTTCTCGACTTTTACACGACTTTTGCACGAATAATGATGATCTCTCATCAAATTAGAAATAATGTATAACTTTAGATCGATATCCAGCAGTCTCTAGTGGAAATATTGAAGGTAATCGGCGATAATGACAAAGTGGGCGTGCTGGAAATAAATTAGACATAGTCGGGTCTTCAACCACTGTCAATAGTGTCTAAGCGATCTTTACCGTATTCTCTCCAATAACAGCTCTTGTCATATTATTATAAAAATATGTTGAAGAAAATGCATTCTTGTCAAGAAAAATTGCCATACATGAAATTCCTCGGGATTTCTGATTTCTTTCATACATGGGCGCTTATTAGAATGGTCTAAATAATGTATTTTCAATTTTCTAAACGCCCTCGGCGCTAATTACAGAGAATACGGTATGTTTAAATATATTGTATAAAATGTATAGATATGTCTTTGTAATCACTGCAAATTGGTATGTCATCCCTTTTTATGCCAATAAAATCTATACATTTCTCAGCAAACAAGTTTGTGTTTTTTCTGAGTTTGTGTTTGTTTTCCTTGTACCCTTGCATGATTTGGATTTTGCCAGGACGCAAAACAAAGAATCTACTTCTTATGGCCTAAAGGTCCTTACTGTGTTTTTGAACTTCCTCCATTAGTTTATTAATTTTTCTCTGAATTTTGGCATGTCGAGCAAACTCATCCATTGCACTAAATGTTCCAAGCTCTTCCTTGAGATTCTTCAGCTCCTGACGTGTTTTGATTTCATCCTCATCAACTTTCTTTATTGCAAGCACAATCTAAAAATACAATAAATAATAAGTTCCAACATTTCATCCTCCGATCACAGGGCTTCAAAATCCAGAATATATTCTTTCTTTTTGCCCCCTGCGATAAGCAGTTAGCATTTCCCCGATTAAGAACTCGCAATCTGATTGGCTGTCGCAACACTGCGACAGAAATCATGTATAAGTCATTGCACATAATTAGATCACATGATTCAGTTAAATCGGGCATTTCCAAATTGGTTAAACCAGGGGGGAAGAAGGAGGTACGGATTCTGGACACCTGCTTAGGAGGATGCAACATTTGGACATTGATAAATCATGGCGATGCAGCTACCAATGATGAAGTTGGATGATCTATCTGTTGGTTGTTAATTTAAAACCATGATACAGGTAGTCCAACTTGACAACAACAATTGTGGTATCCAATCACCTAAAACTAAGAAAACCATATTTTCTGAAGAGAAACACAAATATGTTTTATGTTCATGTAGAGTATAGATATGGCCGTGAGAGTCGTACATGTAAAATTATTAATATAAAATTAATATAAATAAATATTGAGCCAATTAACACAAAACACAATACCTTGGAAAATAATGGCTAATTTAAGTTAATTAGCTACAAGAGTTTACACTTTGACATAACTGTTAATTAGCTCAATTGGATATATTATAATACCATCTCCAACTCATCTTCTTGGGCGAAAATAAATCTCCAACTGGTGGTGTAAGCTGGGGAAGGAGGTGAGGGAAAAGAATCGAAATGTATAACTTACATTGATGTTAATGGATTTTGTACGCACCTAGGGAGAAAACCCTCCAACTACAATCCTATCGATATCTCGTCTGAAGTCTCATCTCGTACTCTCGAGATCTGAAGCTTGATGTTTCGTTCAGTGTAACTTACCAGAAACATTTACCTGGGATAACCGGGGAATGGTCTTCTTAGGGCTTGTTCATACCTAAACCTTAACCGACTCTCACATTGCCATAAATGAAATTATTGTCAATAATTTGAATAAATCTCAAAATTTGTGAATAAAAGAGGGGGGGGGGGGTACCCCACAATTAATATAGAAATACATTTGTAACTTTTCGGTGTTGATGCAAGGAGGATTGTGTTCCATGGTTCCAACTCGATTTAAACTGTCTATCTCAATCACTTCTTGAGTGTTTTGATTTTTTTGTTAGGAGATAAGACCAAAATATTAGTTGAGGCAATCTATGCGAGATTCCATTTTTACTTGGTTCGGTTTTTCGCGCATGCGCAAACATAAAAGTATGTCATTCCCATGATTCAGATTACTTTTCAGCAGCTGGTTCAGTTTTAATTTAGATACCAAATGAAAGATTATTGGTTAGGAATAGAAAATATACTTTGGGATTGAATTTTATTTGTTTTAACACTAGAGGAAAATATTCCCACAATAAAAGGGGCATTGGGAAGGGACTGCTGTGAAATAATAAACACAAGTGACATCTATCTAAAATTATAAGCAGTTACTTAGTTAGTGATTGGGCATGCGCCTAAATAATTTGAACTAATCAAATTGCTTTAATGTGCATACGCAAAAAATGGAACCTCGCGCAGATCTCGATTCAAATTCTGCAGTGAAAAATGTCGACTGTATCATTTCGAGTTTTGTAATCACGACATGACCCAATAAATGGCAGAAGATCGAAATGGAAGCCTGGGAGCAAATCCTCTGGTACTGATTATTAAAAAATAGGTGGGCGATAATAGGAATATTTCTAAAAATAGTTTTCGAACGAGCTGTTTTCCCATGAGTGTAGACAAATATCATGAAAAATACCAATGCAAAACATTCCTTACTCACTTTTTCTCTAAACAGACTTACCAGTTTAGTTATTGGTGGAACAATAATAGGAATAAAGGAGAATAAAAGAACGAGGGAGAAAGCAACGAAAAGTAACATTATTATTGTCTCCTAGTTTGAAGAGCTTCAAAATCCGAACGATAGCGCGTGAAAATGGATCTATGATTCGAGTTCTTGTTTTTTCATTTGCAGTTTTTGTTATGCAATTTGCTTCCAAATGAACTGGTGTATCATTCATTCTCGTTGCTGAAAGGCTGTAAAAGAGATACCTCCAAATCTATCATAATGGTTCATGGTAATCATGCAATTCCTCTTTACTGGATTGGCAAGTCATACTACAGTGAAACTTGTACTTATTGATTACACGGGAACTAGACTAACATGTAGATATGTTCTGGTTTTTCAGAGACAATATGCAAAGAGCTTTAATCCTGTTAAAGAAACGAATGTGCTGACAATTGGATTCTCTAAACCCCTAGACAAACATTTGATGAATAATAATATTGGGTGTCTGTAATCAGAAGGTTTATGTGTAAAGTAACAGTTCTTTGTCTGTTATACTAGTGTATATTTGCTGATACATGTGCCAAAAATTTAGTATACATGTATCAGATACATATACTAAATATTTGGCACATGTAGAAAGAAAGGCCTTGCTTCAACTATTATGGATATATAACACCTCATATAACCTCAAAATTGTTTTTCGCAATCCAGTGAATTTGATCAGGTGTTCACCACTACAAACAATACTAGTTTTAACAAATAACATATTGTGTTTTGACATGCAACTGAGATCATGCCATCACACATCAATTTTCATCTTCTTCAGTAAACTGAAAACACATTTGCATGACTCTAATCTGACCAGGTCACATATGGGGGCTCCTACATGTATTCTTTTATGGCAATCTAAAAAACATTCACACACAGCTAGGCAAGGTGTGTCCAATTCCAGCCAATCCAAAAATGCTATTTCACATAACTGCATTCCATTATATAACCAACTCAAGGTCACTAGTTAAATGGTTGTCAAGGTGATAACTGGACTCCTCAGATTGAAATTGATCAGTTGCAGACTGGACCTTTGCAAAAAGTTTCATTCCACATTTCCCTTACACAGCTTGATAACACAGTCTAGCTACAAATCCTTGTGACCCCCCCCCCCCAATTATACACACAAGGTGTACTGGTGTTAAGGTAGATCAGGGGAGGGGGTTCAATGACTTGAAGCAAAACTACAGACATAGCTAAGGTTTAATAGTATAGTGGCAAAAATTATATTAACAAATAAGTGAACATGACAATATTTATTTGAATCAGGTCATTATTATTGTGGTATATATTACATGTAAATAGCTTACAAAATACTTTTTACATAGATTCATAATTTTACAAATATAAATTATACATGTAGGCTATTCCTCAAAGGACGATTCTCGGTTTGGAGAACAGTCTCCTGGGCTAATAATTTTTTCATGAAAAATATAGAAATATTACCCAAATTAAACTATGAATATTCAAAAGAGGACATTTAAATCTACAAGATGTAAAAATAACAAATTGGTCTGAAGCAGGGATAACGCTCAATTAGACCGATTCAATAAAATACAAGTCTCGATTTGGGGAAATAAGTTCATCAGTGTACTTCGCTAATATTTTTTTGCGAAAAATCTAGAAATATTACCCAAATTAAAGTATGACTATTCAAAAGAGGACATTCAAATCTATATTATGTAAAAAAATCAAATTTGTCCGAAGCAGGGATAATACTCATTTAGATTGATGAACTTCGTTCTCCAAACCGAGAATCGTTCTTTACAATATAGAAACATTAATTATTGTACATAATTAAAATTGTGGACTTTTATACATTAATTCTCATAATACTTCAGATGTTTTATTTTATAAATAGTAAAAGATTGCAGATTGAAAATGTTAAAGACAGCTTGAATTTTGGCAATAGCATCCACTCACATTATGTTCATTGAAAGAGAAGCCTGCAGTGGTCTTTGTAAGAAATACAATAAAAAATATGATAAGACTTGCAAGTTCGACTCTCATATACAATTCAGTTATCAGATTTGGAATGTATTATATAGGAATGTTTGCTAATCAATTTGTATTTTAAATGTTTCTCACTAGATAGGTGAATACCGTGAATCCTTAACTATTTACAGAATAGATACTGTATGTCACACTCTTTAAATTCACTAAATATCACGAACATGTACCTGTACTTAGAATCAATACAATTGTAAGAAATGGACACCATTTCAACCTGACTTGTCATTTACCATTCCATATATGATCTCAAAACAGTAAAAGTTTATTGAAAAGCATCTCAACGCATGTTATGGTAAATAAGAACCCTATATTGGTGGTTGTATGTATTTACTTTTACCTTTTAATATTTTGGCTTAATGCAATACAAAATCAGTGCCTGATCTCTTTTATAACAGAATCATCACCTACAGGTATACCTACACATGAATGTAAGTAACTTTAACGGCCGTTTTAATTTGGCGGTTTTGGCGGATTGATGACAACTGCCAAATTAAGTCTCCCACCAATTTTTTGAATAAATCCCCGGAGATTTCCTTGCATGATAAAAACATTTGAACATTGTTCAATTGTTTATTTTTTGAGAAACAAGAGCATTATTTGCATCTTTGTATGAACCCTCTTATATCCGCATTTTACTGATGGTAAATCTGCCAAATTAAATAGCAGCCAAAATTTGCCAAATCCAGCCCAATCCATCAAATTAAATAGCGCCAAATAAAGCAACTTACAGTAGGTGGTGTACATGAATTGGGGCCTCAACCATTGTGGGGTAAGGGGCCTCTGAACTGACTCAGTCGCATATAACTATACATTCTGACTGTCTGTTATCAAACCAATCAAGTTATATCATCTATAAGTTATGTTATGTTATTTTTTTTTTTGTAAAATAGTAAACTCTAAATTGTAAAAATTAAATGCAATATAAATCACTTTACACACATTTACATTACAGACATTAGGCACCCCCCCCCCGTGAACATGATTATGGCTAGTTACATGAATATTTCATTGTTGACAATGATATGATAAAATGTATAGCAAATGATTCATGTACATTAAAAGCTTTCTATATGATATGAAACAACAGGTACATTAATGCCCATGTACACTACTCCCCATAAGTTTGGCAACTTGAAGTCCCCTTTTGGCACTAATCAAACCCTGTTTATAAATTTTATAAAATTCAAATAAATCATCAAATACGAAACTATTGTATTGAAGGAAAAAATTAAGATCTAAACGTTATGGCAATATTCTGGTAAATAGCGCCATAAATAACACTGGTTTTGGGCCCTGAGTTCAGTACTCAGACTTTGATACACTATCCAAGGAAAACCTCTGGTTGCCAAACGTATGGAGGGGAGTGTACAAATCCTGCACCAACTAGTGGAAAGATGTCTCATTCATAAAACTTATGCTTCACATTTCTCAAATTGTCAATCGTTATCTTACATTTCTAAATGAAAAACATTTATCAGGTAAACAGTTCGAGTTAGTGTTTACTAGTGATGTAACAGTCATAAATGATTGAATATGCGGTTAATGAATTAATTAGCAGTGTGAGATAGTAAAATGTAGGATTGGAAATAAATTAAGGGGAGCGAAATCAGAGGCTTGATGCAACATTAACTTCATAACTTATAATTATGAGTTTAAAAATGTACAAATAATATGATACAGTAAAACCTATGCTATAAGTGGAGCACATTTGTTACTTCAGAAAAGTGTTTCATTTTGGAGGTGTTTATCTTTACAGGTTTTACTGTATTTTAAACATACATTATTTCTGTTCTTGCAATAAAAATAATACTCTATTTATACACTAAAATGTATTCACTAAAATAGTAAAATGAACTTTGCATGTTTGTGTTTGATATACATTCACAATCCTCCATATGGGATGAGATTGGCACATTTTCCTAATAGAGGAGTTTCTAAATGATTTTGAAATCTCGCTATTCCTCGTTTTTTCATGAGATTTTAAGAGATTTGCACATTTTACCTCTAACGACTTACTTTTCTTTCTTTTTAATAGCATATTTGAACTCCGCGATATGTTTCCTACAATAATAGCTTTGATTTACACATTTATGTCATTTAAATCATTCTCCATGACATTTTAAAAAAAACTTTGGCCAAATCTCCATTGATGTTATGCTAAAATTCTTTAAATCCATGGTTTAATCGTATGACAACCAACATTTTCATTTTTAATCACAATATGTTCATTGACAGGGTCATTTAATAGTATGCCATTCAAATTTCAGACAGATTTAACTAACACTCTTTGATAAATCATGAAATTAAGTGAATATTGCAAGCTTTTAGCATAGAACTCAATGGAAGGTTGGCCCAAGATGAACAAAGGTGACATCTATTATGTCAGCTTTATGCAGCTTTATTTAGCTATCTAGAAACTATACTATTACTCCAACTCGTGTCAGTTTTTACGTAGTATAAGAGGAGATTTCCCTCACTGCGCAAATTGTAAAGTTCATAATTAATGAATGAAATCAATACTACAATGTACATTGTTTATCACTGTAATGGCTGTATAAAACAGATAAATTCGAGAATTGGGCAATATTGGATTTCACACATCCATTTGTGAATCCTCTGACAATACCTTCAAGCAAACAATAAAAATCTCTATCCAGTTTTACGTTAAATTATCCCCTGGAATGCAGTCTTTGTTTATACAGAACATTGTTCAATTAAGCTCAGTTTGTACATACTTCCTCTTTTTAATTCAATGCAATCGAAAATCTGAGATTTGTGCTTTCTAGACATACTGCTCCTTTTTCCTCTTGCAGCAAAAGCAATACAAGCAGACCCCAGTTATTATGAGAATCACACCAAGTGCAACGCCTCCTATTATGAACCCGGACACACTGGAAGAAATAAAACACATTAACTATCAGTGTTGTTTAACAGAACCAAAATTGAAAGCCCATGACAGAACTGGCTAATTTTTTACACTGTTCAGTAAAACCTGTGTAAGTTGAACAATTGTAAGGACTTCAAAAAGTGTTCCACTAAAGGAGGTTTTCCACTTATAGAGGTTTACTTAACGTTAAGACAAAGGGACAGTGAAGTGTACTGTTTACACTTATAGAGGTGTTCAACTTGACAGGTTCTACTGTATTGTATTATGTTTTATTTCAAAGAAACAGTGAATTGTTGGTCAATTGAAAGAAAGTACATGAATTTAAATATTGATTAGCCTGCTTCCTTGACTATATGGTATCAATGGATCATTGTACTACATAAATTGCTTGATACATGAGAAGTGTTGACCGTGTGTTTAGTCACGTATTTCTGTTTACCACATATAGCGGAATTCATAAAATTACTAAAGCATTTCTGAAGAAAATGCAAAGTATTATTGAAGCGCTTCCCGTGTGAAACTGAAGTGATAACAATGTAACAATATTAAGGTATATTAAGAAGAAGAATTCTTAAGTCTATTGACGTCTTATAAATAATTACTAATATAATGACTTCTTACAACAAGAAAACTCTTTGGAAACCTTGTATAGGTAGTTAGTTATATGTTCTGGTGAATTCTAAACTAAATACTTACCACGTATTGCTAAAATGGACGTAGAACTGATGCCAGACACATCTGCCACCTGGTGGGCAGAGGTTGGTCTGACAGAAACAAGCTTCACCTTTCAGGATCACATTGTTCACTGCTGTCTCAGACATCTTACTATACCTTTGGTTAACAAGGTCCTCAACCTGTAAGAGAATAAGTAATTAAGGGTGAACCCATTTTAATAATAATTTGATTCAAACAAGCTTCACCTTTCAGGATCACATTGCTCACTGCTGTCTCAGACATCTTACTATACCTTTGGTTAACAAGGTCCACAACCTGTAAGAGAATAAGTAATTTAGGGTGAACCCATTTTAATAATAATTTGATTCAAACATGCTTCTCCTTTCGGGATCACATTGGTCATTGGTTTATCAATCATCTAAGTAAACCTTAGGGTTGCAAGATTTTCAACCTGCAAGACATACTTCATAATTTTTTCTAAGAATGGTGAACCCATTTTGTATTCAGATTTATGGAAGAATATGTTCTGATCATTGATTTTTTCTAATCAGTATACACTGAAAGAGTCTTTGGTTATGTGCGAGGCCTACACTGAATTGGGGTCATGGGGAAGTCTTATTCACCCCTACAATATTTTACAATGTCGCTTTTGGCATGAGGAATACACACATTTCTAATAGACTTTTGCAAACATTCAACGCAGGAGAGTGAACAATATTCTAACAGTGTGGGAATTTGGGAAATAAGCATTTTTGACTTGACCAGACAGTTTGAAAACACACTTGACAATTTTTTGTACTTGGTCAAAGTACTGAAAAAATATACATAGAAACAGGGGGGATAAAATGATTGAAATTGTTAACCAGTGAATTTTATATTTAGCATTGTTTCATTTGTTGACAACTTCTTCCTCAGAGAAAGGCCAATTTATTTTCTTTCATTTGATATGTAAAACAAAATTCATTGTCTCATGTCTCCCACACAGTTTGAAACAGTCTTGACAAATGTCTTTTCAGACTCAACATTTGTCCATTGTCCGGTGCTTATTTCCCACAATGTTCTAAATGTTCTAATATCACGAGGGGATTTTATTGTTTATTTGATGTTTACTTTTTGTTTCACTTTTGCTACTATAATGTCAAAAAAGTTTTGTAATTGGAGTTGTACTCATTAACTCAGCAATTGGACTTAAAAAAAGAATAATATCATCTACGGAGAACTTGTTCCAAAGTGAAAAATGGAGATATCTTTTAAAATCTAAGCACTTTATCAGAAGCTGATAGATGGGAGCCCAGAAGAGCATGATGATGATGAGCTGATGTTACTTCAATTATTTACAAGCGGCTTGGAACTTTTATGGTGTGTTTGTGTGTTTTGGTTATTTCTACAAAGCTGATGATGTAATTTTGATAAAGAATATTCAACAATGATGCAATGTTGGAACTGATGAGCGCTACCCTTGTATATCGATAAAGTGTTTACTGCTGTTGTGTCGGTCCTGTGTTCCCACCTTCATAATGGCGTATCCACGCTATGGGAAAGGGAGAATTTGACAATCGAGCCTTGCAAGATGCCATGCAGAAATAGAGATTTACAGAAATATGGAAAGTGATGATGTCATTTGGTGGGTGAGTAAAGGCAAACCTTTTATATCTGAGGTGCAAGTTAAGACAGAGTATCATTGTGGCTTAAAAAAATTTAAGGTTGTAAATGTCTAAAGTAACATGAGGATAAAACAAAGAAAATCATAAAAATAGAAAAATGTATATCAAAAAAAAAATTGAAGCAAATTGGTCAAGTAGAAGAAGAGAAAGTTTGAAAATTTGAAGTTTATATGATTAAAAAGGATGAGTTAATTAAGTAATTAAGGAAAGGATTAAGTAAAGGAATTAAGTAAAGGATATCTAAAAAGAGAAAATATAAGTAGGTTAAGGATATCAAGTGAGAATATAAGTAAAAAAAGTATATCAAGTGAGAAGATAAGTATTGTAAAGTGTGAATATAAGTAAGTAAAGGATATTAATGAAGACATAATAAAGGTATTTAAAGTAGTTAAAGTGTATCAAGGACAATCAATTACAAAGTAAAGTATCCCGATCCCATTCAAGAGAAATAGAAATACAGGTCTACTTAGTGCACAGGTAGATCTGCTGATCTCAGGAAGGTTTAACCTTAATGAAAAGTTTAATCTAGGACGACAGTTACCCTATGGCTTGAACCCCACAGTACAAAATCAGGTGTAAGATGGCAAAATGGACAAAAATCACTCAACTACTTTTCAAGTTACAGCAAATATTTCAAAGAATCGCACACACGTAAATGTACAGATGGACAGATGGATGCACATTTGTATTGACGGACGGGTGGAGGCGTTTCCTATATCCCTCAGAACTTTATTGGATGGGATAATAACTGATGTCAGTAAAGCTGAACTATTTAGGACAATATGAGGAACAGAATTACTAATTACCCCACATTGATCTTTTGCATTGCTCCCTTACCTGAATCAATTCTAACATTCATTATCTATGTTTTACTAAGGTTACAACAGTTTAAAGGCAATCATCACAGGTCATTATCAAGTTAGGAGTTATTGCCCAGATTTAATGAGTCTATTCTTTGGGATGAAATGTATTATTGATGTTGTATTTAAGTGAACAATAATACAATCTGATAGCTACACCGTTTTCAATTAATATAGACAAGAATTAGGATTAATTCAGAGATTTAGGTAGGTGGAAGAAAATAATGAGCTTATGTCAGAAGCTAATTTAGATTAAAAGTGTGGCCTTCTTGAAAGGATTTCTTTAATTGCAATGTCTATTGTCCCGATGTGAGAGTAACGCAGATGCGAGAAGGGAGTTACCAGTTTCACCACCAGGTGGATCGTTCGGGTCAGATAGCATGGCGGGTATAGTAAAAAGTTCCCCTTAACTTTAATTACTTCTGTTTAACTTTATGTATCTAACATTGTCTAATAGTTATGCAAATCAAAATATGTCCAGTAAAGAAAATGTCATCTGTCCAATATAAGAAAACATATTTCACTTTTTGTAATTTTGTAACATGATTCACTTGCTGAAAATGGGGAATCAATCCGAAATCAAAGTCACATTTAAAAAAATTAAATTTTCAAAGTTGATACACAATTTTCGAAACTATATTTCTAGATGTACTTTTACATGTAGATTTCTAATATGACATCACTTTGGCTTAATTTTGAATATTTAACGTAAATTTTGAATAATTGACGTAAATCAAGATTATTTCTACTCGCGTCATTTCTGAAAATTTCAGCAAGTGAATCATTGATAACGTACTTGAGGACTCATATCCTGCGACTGTTTTTGAGTTAAAAGTTCAAAACAAGTTTGTCTTTCTACTTATCAGGATTCAAGTTATTCATTACGGTATCAATTTGATGATTGCTCCGGGAAAGAATACAAACCAAAATTTTCAAAAAAGCTTTAAAAGTTTTCAAAAAAGCTTTAAAGAGAGAATCGGATCTAGCGGGCAGGCAAACAAAAAATTGTTTTAATTTTAGAATATTTCTGACTCATGTCATTCCTTGTCATGTCTATTTTCTAAAAATACTAAAGTGCACACTTTATTTCAGGAAAAGTAAAGATTTTTACAATAATGTATTATTTCTCTATTAGAATGTTTACCATTCTTATTATTTGGGAGAATATCAATATTTTTCACCCATTTTTGCTCTTCGAATCCATGATAACTTTACCAGTTTATAACATATGGTGAATCTTTTGTAGAGGGTGTCCATAATAAAACCATAAATTAATATTACTGATATACATTTAGGCATGTTCAGATATATATCTCAGACCTGAGACCATCATAAAAAAGTTTATGTTAGTCTCAGCTCAGACTTAAGCTCAAGGGGGTATTGTTATGTTCTGTACACCCTGTATCTTTGCAATCTAACCCACAGGAATATTTAATGTATTGTCATATGTACCTGCTCAGTTCCCTGGCATGTATTTTCAGTTCCACTGCTGACTTGCATACAATCTCTGATCCATGTGTCACTCCTGAAGCGGCCAGCTGAAAATTATTGCATTTAAAGTTATCATTACAATCATGTAAACTACAGGGCAGACAGTAAACACTGGCACAGAGCTGGGAATTGATGGGGGGTGGGGGGGGGGTGTATAAAGGGAAAAAGCTCTTCCCAAATTTTAAATAGGACCATCCATGTGTTTATTTGATTTTTAAAGAATGTCTTCAGCACATGTTTAAATGAATTTATTTTCACATGCATGTGGTTTAAAGTGTACAATTCTTTTCAAAATCGAAAAATATGCATTGAATATCAAAGTGTTGTTGATAATCTAAATCACTGCATATAGCAATCTTGATCTGGAGATGCAAGTCCTGCAAGTAATTCACCATACATGCAGTGGCTCCTATAACATTATGGGGTAACATGAGCATAACATAGATCTAAATTAGGTGAGGCAAAAATCAATAGGTGAGGTACCTTTGGATTTCGCTTGAATAGTGTGAGTTCAAAAAATTTATAAAAATTATTTCTTTTACAGTGTTCTCCACAGGATTTTTCTCAATTGGTGCAAAATTCTCATTTCCACAATTTAGACAAACATTTTAGACCAATTTTTCATCATTTTCTCCGTGGGTGCAAATGGATTTTCAGATGGGTGCAAGCCTTTTTTTTAAAATTTCAGATGGGCGCTGCACCCACTTACTTAATGTGCTCTGGAGATCATATCATAGCATTTGCTCCACCTGTCTCAGCCTCACACCTGGCTACATTCATGGGTATGATCATAATTACAGAGAAAGCCTATATATACAATTATCATACTTACTAACTGGAATATATAGCTCTGATGTGCCTCGGACAAGGCCACACTTATACACACGACCAAATATGGCATTTGGGCAAGTAACAATATCTCCTGATTTTGAATCAAAGGGATCCCGGCAACCGGGGTTTGTGTTTCTAGCAAATTGCTCCTTTACATCTTCATCATCTGTCTGTCCAGGAGGAAGCTCTAAACTCTGACACTTGTAGCATTCAAGGGTTAACACTGCAATATAAAAGAAATGCAGATATGTGTATTACTAAATACTGTATTATTCAATATTTTAAAGACGTTATTGTACATTGCACTTATGCTCTAAAAATTCAAAGCGACATAACTTGGGTCAAAAATCTGAAAATTATGATTGAGGTTGAGGATTGCTTTCGAGACATTTCATCCATTGGATGTTTCACCCTTACACTGTTCACCCCTTAGCCATTTCATCCTATTGACATTTTACCCCCTAGACACTTCCTCTCCTGGAGATTTTACCCCCTAGACATTTCACCATCTATAGTACTGTGGAAAAATAAGAGTCGTGTTTTAAGCACATTTCCCTGAATTCTACCATTTAATGTCCCAAACTCTCCAAACTACTGAAAAATATGCCCGCCATGTAAATAATGTTTAACAAAATGAATGTTAATTCAAGGCTTCATACCAGCGTATGCATGAGCCATTTCTCACAAGTTTGAGTTCACATTTCGATAAAATGAAGTAGTGGCAAACTCCACCAGGTTTGTTTATTGTGGTCTGATTTCTATGGTACAGGGTGACACAAAGAAATGACACTCACCCACACAATGTTGCATTACTTTTTTGTCTGCAAAAATTCTGACAAACTCAAGGTCAGACAGCCTAGACATTTCACTCCCTTGACATGCTGTTATGACATCATAAATTCTGTCTATGGAATATTTATCAAATGAAGTAAACTGAACAACTCTTCAATTCGAGATTGCTGAAACTTTTTTGGCCTGGGAAATTGCCAGAAACTAATGTTGGAACCATCTGCCTTGAACACGTCTTCATCCTACTTGGATGTAATCTTACCTAATTATTAGTGCATAAGTAGTTGATATTCGATGTATCGACTCGTAAAACACTTTTGACCACTTCCTGTGACTAGGAGTAGGAAGCAGAATTTCAATTTTAGATGTAAACAAACCCAAAAAATCAAGATGTAAATTGATCAGAATATAGACTTGATGGAGCTTATATCAGACACTCACCTGTTTCTAGATATAAACACAATATAAATGAAATAAGTGAAACTAATTTTGTAGTTCTAGAACATATGATAATGGCCATTTTTAGATTTTATTGATAAAATTTTAAACTTTGATTTTCCACCATTTTGTTGCAGTTTATTAGCGAACGTGATGCAATTTATGTCGAATAAAACGTTCGCAATATACTTCACTGCTTGGTCCTTAATTAAAAGTTATAGAATTTCTATTCGTTTCTCGAATAAAAATCCCTAAACTTTTAGAATGTTTCACCGAATATACAGCAGGGTCTGGATTTGGGAAATTTGTAGAGGCTGACGGTAATTCCGGTTATACGGTTTCGGTACGGAATTGAGCATTTACCGGCATTTCCAGAAAAGAGCGGACACTTTCTTTATCAGTAATAGACCCGCTAATGTAGGAGAGCTGTCAACACAACTGATTAGAAGTGCTCCAAGCAGCTCTGTTGAAACTTGATGCTGTTTTCACCTCTAACAAGATGTAGCCTACTTGTAAATAAAATACAACCATCATTGTGCGTAATTCCAGAGTGAAATATATTATAAATAAGACTGAATATATACTATGTTGTGGCACATGTCCGAGTGTGTTTCTCCTCATGTTATTTTGAAATTATTCTCTATTTTTTGAAGAAAGTGAGGGAATGCGCAAATCAGCATACACACTTTAATCAAAGGTGGTAGTTTATAGTCTGTATGAAATATCCTGCATTAAATCTCACGTATACCAGTTCTTGAAATCAATTTAGTAGACTAAGTACATTAAGATACAAAGTGTACCAAAACAAACCAGACTGAAGAACAGCTAATTTTAGTCCGGGATTTTTGTGCATTATGAATTTATTATATAAATCGTTAAAACAACTAAAGCAATTAGTAAAACTTTTTAGTGCATCAAACATCAATTTGGGTTAAAAAGTCAAATGCACCCATTATTCTAGCTATAAATTCAAATACAAAACGTTAAGATCTTGCACTGTTAGCCCATGACCTCCCAATCCCCATACATTTATGGAGCTTTCCTTGTTCTTTTCCCTAATTCTGTCATTTTGCGATCGAACATGTGAAGGAAGTTACTGTGATAGAATTAGGTCTCATGTAAAACTTAACTTTAACTGCAGGCATTCTTTATTACATTTATTCAGAATCAGGGACACAAGTTATTGAGTTACAGTGCCACTATGTATAACCTCAAAATCATCCAGCGTCTATGCTGCTAGCATGCTGTAATACAATACTCTGTACTCAGAGTAGCAGGCCCTAAAAGTGAATGGTAGGAGAGGAGTATAAGTTTCACGGGTAACGATGCTAGCGATGATAAGCAATCTCAGTAATGGGGCAATTAGAAGATAAGCCAATGTCTGACTTTCTGTATGGATTTCTGGTTATGGTATTGAAATTATTAACCGGTTAACCGACGATAGTCCCCGGGGAAATAAAAGACACGTTGTTTTTTAATTATTTCGTTTAATTTCCTCTTTCGCGATGCGTACATTTACATAGACATTTAGATGTCCATGTTTGGCAGTTCAGGTGTGATTTCCATGTTTGGCAGTTCAGGTGTGATGTCCATGTTTGGCAGTTCGGATGTAGTAGCTTCATGCTCAGGCTCATATTTGGTTGTTGTTATGTTTGGCAGTTCTGGTGTAGTTGTAGTGTCAACGTCAGATCCAAAAACTGAATTATGTTTGTAATAGTCATTTACGAACAAAAAGGCATTGACAACCTCAGGTTGAAGTCGTGCCGGTTTGGAAGTGATGGTGTTGCCAGCTGCACTGAACTGACGTTCACTTGACACGGATGACGCAGGAATAGCATGATATGCCAAACTCGCCACATCAGGATATTTTACCTACCCCACCCCCATGTATACTGCACGTCGCTTGCTATTGATACAGTTGAGAAATGGTTTGAAATGTGTAATTATGACGTGCACGGACCTGGGGACAATTCGGGAAATGCGGGCTGATCTCAGCTTTGAGCGCTAATCTCTGCCTTATTTAAAAAGCTAACAATGTGTTTTATGTATGATTTTGAAGTATTTTTTATTCGCATTTCAGCGAAATTATTTTTCCTTCAAAATTTTGATGGGATCCAACATAATTTTAAAGTTAAATATACCCCGACATCGTCAAATACGCTGTAAGACGTAACACTACGCTTACAGGGCTCGTTGAAATTTGGATAACTTTTAAAATAATGATCAAAATCCCACTAAAATTTTACAATTTATTCAATGGAACATGTGCATTTATGACATCACAATTGCTTAACGGCTATCTTATACGAACGCTTTTAAAATTTCAAAATTGTGTAAGGTTTTGAAGGCGAATGGGACGAGCAATAAGTTTACCTTCATTTAACCTTCTAATTTAGGTCTGATTTGAAAGAAAAATTAACTGCACAATATTGTCATGGCGAAATTTACAAAACAATAATCAGTTTGCTTGTTTTGCAAATAATGTTAAAATAAGAGCTGGTTTTCGAGACTTGAAAAAAATGTGACGCATCGATTTTGTACCACAAATTCCATACATATCAATTTTTACTGACGCCCTGAGTGAATTTCTTGGCGGTTTTCCAAAATTCAAAAACATTTTAGAAATATTGTCCTCGAGATCTTGCTACCCTGTGAATTCTGTCATGATTAGATAAGGATAAAGAATTTTATTTTTAGGTTGACTAAACTTGAAAAAATGTGACGCTTGTCGTTTTTGACGTTATAAGGCTGTTTGCGCCCTTTACTGCTCATTGTTTCGTTTTGGTTTTTTGACGCCATAATCAGTTACGCTTATTGTCCCCAGTTTCGTGCAACGTGTAAATACATTTAATTTAAAACTAAAAATACATCTTGATTCGTAAGATAGTTACATGCTATTTCGTGAAGTTCATCAGTATGGGTTCAAATCGGTCTTGCACCATGTATGCATATAGATTTGAGAAGCTGCGGAGAGAGTTAGGAACAGAGTGGGGGTGGTAGCGCATTGGCATTTTATCTTAAATATTTTTACCGGTATTTCGGTAACGGTACGGTTATTAGCGTGACGGTTACCGGTATTAGTTTTCAGTACCGTTGCGACCTCTAGAAATTTGGGTAAAATCAAAATACATATTCCAAGCCAGGCGTAAAAGTCATTTAATACTAGAAGGCCGACGACCTTGCCGGGCAGGGCCTTGCCGGTGCAAAAGAGTAGAAGGTCCTATCAAATGATTCGTTGATTTATATGGTGACCTCTTTCCCTAATTATCTTATACATACTCAGGGCCAGGTAGGGCTGTTAAGAAAGGGGACCATAATCCCTGGCCATGGGGGACCATAATTTCTTTCCACCGGGACCGTCGGAGTACAAGGCAAGTTATAGGGTACAAGTACAGGGTTCACGGATTCATACAGTCCAAAACAGGGAAAGTACATGTATTTTCCGTATGCAAACATTCTCATATTGGAAATAGTCGGACAGCTGGGGAGATTTGCGGGAAGGTCCGAGCGTAGGCCAGGGTAAAATTAGGAGATGGCAATAGCCGGGAGAGGCAAATGCTGAAAGAGGTATATTATTACTTAAATCCCATAGTTTTAATGCCAATGGTTTCAAAACGTCACCCATTATCACAACAAAGACGTCAACAATTAAATATGTTGTTAAAAGAAGAAATGATATCAAAGGGTGCACAAGATTGTTTTAGATAGACATTTTTTTCTTCAACAGAACAACATTTTTTCTTCTAATACCAGAATTTCTACCTAATTGCACATGGGTGTTTAAAAATATCTCTTTAAAGAGATCCAGTAGTCCGGATTTCTATTCTGGACAATCAGTAATGTCCCAATATAATTGCTCACAAAACATCAAATATACCTTAGATATATCTGGAGACCAAATCATAAACACAATTTCACCAATATATTGAAGAAATCAACAGGACAACCAACAGAACAGCCAACTGTCAGAATTGAACACAATAAGTCGAAATCAATGAACAATGTTTTTTGGGGGATTTATCTATATTTTAACCCCTTAGAAGTAATAAATATGACTCATCTGAACCAAAACAATCTGTTCAAACTGAAGAAAAAAGCCAGACTGGAACAAATTTGAGCGGTCTTTTTAAATGTTATTTTTAATTTCTACTGATGTAGGTGGAAATTCATGGCTAGGAATTATCATCAAATTGATACTGTTAAGGAATTAATTCAAGCCTCAGCATTGGTAAGTTGATAAACAAACTTGTTTTACATCAAATAACACGATAAAATCAGGGGTTACTTTAATTGTGTTTTTAGGAGACTCGATCTCTTTAAAGAATCACGGACGCGCTTTTCGAGTGTTTCTGAATAAACGGGTGAAAAATTCGAGTTAATTGAAAAGGACGTTATGCGCCAAGAACCGTTGTGATTACCGTAGTTCATAAATAATAAGCAAGCACTTTTAAAAACAAGACAACGTTCATTTACTTCCCTTTCATTCCAAAACTATTTGATCGGAGCATCCTTAATCAGTGGATTGCATTTTTGCCCGCACACTCGGGTTTTCTATGCGCCATTTTCTTGGTCTCGGCTCCTTGGAAATTGTGATTCTCTTCCTGGTCGATATTTCCTTTGAAAAAGGAAGATAATTTTTGTCCTCGTAATAAACACCCACCCCTTGGAAAACCAATATAAACTCTCTATAATGGGTGATCGATGATTTTCAAATAAACCCCCATAATAGGCCTACGGGGATATGGGAATGATGCTCAATGGGCGTATTTGTGAAAAAACGTTTCAGATATCATATGCCTCAGAAACTGTTCTTTAAACTACCTAGAATGCCTATGGCGATTGGTAGTAGATATTTTGTGTATGTTTTGTTTATGAAGGAAATAAATAATATGTTAAAAAAACGTTTCTTGTTTTTTTAATATGCCTGTCAATAGGGGCATTTTATATCACAGTGTCACACACCATTCTGTTTCAGATACCCAAATTGAAGGGGAAATAATGATTGTGAATCATGTCTTCCAATACAATTATTCACTATTTCCGAATAACAAGGAACTGCGCACGATACCATTCTTGACAACCAGTAATACGCAAATTGTTCCATCGGAACGCCATTCTATTGATTGGTTAAACATATATATACAGTATATATACCCATCATTCCTGAGAAGCGTCGATCCGTTTATTTAATTGTGAGAGACGCAACAAGATGGATTGTCACCGCATTCGTAAAATGTCATATTTTGGAATATGGAGTTTGATAATCGCTGGTTCTTGGGCTACAAGTAAGTATATCTAAAGTAAATATTATGTTTTTTCCTCTTTGATTCTGTTTTAGACTTTATTTTGGTCGAATATTACATTTAGTTCATACCAGGACTCTAATATGAAAACAGAGAGAGAAAAGTTAGAGCTGTGTTTAATAGAGGTCAAAACGAACATTGTCTTCCTAACATGGCGAACACAGAAACTTTTAATTAGGTTTCTCAACAATGAAAAGATAATCTAGATCTAGAGAACAAGAGCTGGATGAATAGTACTATCTTATATTGTTCATGAAAGGGAAAAAATGTGGCATCGACTTTGTCTTGGATTAATAGGATTGTTTACACAATTCTATTTTATGAACATTTCTTTAGCGATATTATTGTTTCTAACATGCAGAAATTGCAGCTTGTTTGCAACGGTTAGAAAAAAAATGTAACATCATTATTCTCATTTCTCAAATGTATGTCAGTATTTTTTTGTTATGAATAATCATAACATCTGGACTATTATTTCATACTCAAATATGTGTCCGTTGTTTTGTTTATCCCTTTATTTCATTGTTTATTATCTGAATAATCTCATCAGTGATCACAGTTTTAAAAGTTATTTTGCTCATGTGCCATTTCCATGTTAGTTCCATAGTTTGTAAATAACAATGTCACCAAACTTGATCGAGTCCTAAAATACTATTAATTTGATCAATAATGTTTTGCTCTGTACCCAGCAGAATATATATTAAATGAATTTCGGCTATATAAAGCAATTCGTTATATTCATTTTCAAATGAATGATACGATATGTGTGAATCAAATATAATACTATTGATAGATTTTCAAGGAAAGTTGTCTGCTGTTTATAGTTATTAACTTTAAAGGCCCCGTATAAAGTTTGAAAGTATAGTTTAACCATCGTTCAATAATTACTTTTCATGACTTGAAAAACCATTTGTGACATATTTTTGAAAAATATGACTTTTGGAAATAGTTGTTGTTCATCTAATGATTATCACATGTTTGAATTTCTCGCGATTTAGGAAACAAAAGTTTAGACTTTCAGATCATCAAATGCAGTGACGTGACGCAAAAAGGTGGCGCATTTGTTTTTTAAGGGTATCGCGTGAATGTAACTTTGATTCCCCGGAATATAAGATAATATTCTAATTAAAGTTATATATCATTTTAAAGCTGTTTCGATGAAGATTTTAGATCAACTACACTCCGTTCACATTTTTTACGCGTTCGTTTTTAAAAAAGAGTTTTTTACCAAAACATCTGGCAAATATCCCATGTTGACACGTTACATTTTGAATTATTTTTCGTCTTTAAACGCTCATAACTCAAACAATATATGACTATTATACTTATTTTTCGTCTTGATAAAGGTAGATGGAAGTTTTATTTCAAATTATGAATTTTAGTAAGCGTCCCATATTGTGACGTCATAGAGTCTGAAAAATAGAATCTGTTGACAGCGACCTTTTTTGCTCATTTTTTGGTACCTTCAACTTTTCAGATGTACATTAAACAAAAAATACGAGATCAATTTTTAATAAATCATACATGATTATTTTGCTCCTAAACTCTAGTTTATTAATAATTAGTTGATTTTGTTCACAAAAGTATGTGTTTTCTGTTGTATGTGGAAAAGTGGAGGACGAAAGGTTTTCAAAATTCATTAAAATAGGGCTAATTTACGCCATTCGCCTATTTTCAAGCACAGCAACACGTATATTTATTTCACCTAAAATATCAATTGATTCGTGTTTTATGATGCTCCTAGCCCATTAACAATATATATATGATATCAGAGTTATTCGTCTAAACTGTTTTGAGATATAGAGGTAAATGTGGAGGACGAAAGGATTTTCATGTGTGTACATTTTTCTCAAAAACGTCACATTCTGTCATGTTAAAAGCGAGAATCCTCTGGATTACGCCACAAAATGTGTAACAATGCGTGCGCGAGCTTTTTGCGACCCGTCACTGTACGTGTACAACACTACATATTGTAATTATAGGATATCCTATGGTTTTGAGGATTATCATTTTTATCTACGAGGTGATATTGATATCTGCACGAGAGAGCGAAGCGATAGTATCCCGGGTCATAGCAATATCACCAAGTAGATTAAAATGATATTCTGAAAAATCATAGGATGTTCTTATTATCCTACACTTACAAGGAGTGTTCTAAATGTATAATATCATTACAAAATGAATTTCATGCCAAATAGAGTCAATGTGGCGGGAAATCATCAAGTGGAGTATATCGTCACAATTATCCTCCGCATATTGGGTCCGGAGTATATCGTCACGATATCCTCCGACCGGAGTATATCGTAACGATATCCTCCGGTTATTGATTTTGCCAATAAATATCAAATTTATTTTTAATGTTATTATACATTTAGTACACTAAGTGTAGGATAAAACACATTATTAATGCTCTTTGTCACATTATTTTAACCATTTAAGGTACACAACACTCTTCAATTTCGTTTCGGTAACAAAATGTCGGAACCTCGAAGCCCTATTATCAAACTAAGCTAGTTCTCACTACGTTCTAGAAAACGGGCTAAAACTGTTGACGAACAGATTGGACGTACTTAGAACCGTTTGGGATCTATTTTCAAACTTCATGAACGTACTTGAACGGGTAGGCCGTTCAGAACATAGAGCATGCTCAAAATGTTCTGATGGTCGTCACGTTCTACAATTAGAACGCGTGACAACAAACTTAAGACGAGCTGGACGTACTACGAACGGAACTGTCGTACTTCAATACTATACTAGTAGAGATTTTTTAGAACGAGTTGAATTGATTCAAAACGTATTGATTAAGGACGTATTAAAGGCTGCTTGTGAACGAGTTAGCAAAAATATAGCAATCACACCAAACTAGTTGCAACGGCGTTCCTAATAATTTTGCCGAACTTAACTGGTTTTAAACTGTGTGCCAACGAAATGAACGTAGCTGCAACTTTCTACAACCTGTCTACGATCTTCATGAACGTGCTCGGACGAGAAGGTGATTTAGAATTTTGAATACGTGACAACGTACGTCAAACGTGATGACCTACATGTACTAGACTGGGAACGTAATTGCCGTACTTCGACCTTACTAGGGATGTGTTAACGACGTTGTGCAATCGAATATGTATTGCAGTACGTGAAAACACCGACATGGTGCGACCTGAACGAACTGCGAATGAGATGGACGTATTGAAGACTGTTTATGTTTAAAAATTAATTCAATGACGTCATGCATGACGCAGGCGAAACTGTGAAATAAAAGCATCACAGTAATAGGTACATGTTATTTCCTAACATTCTGGACATCATATTTTTTTATTTCAGACGTTACAGCATCATCCCCTGATAATGAATCGACACTGGAAAACGGAAGTCATCGAGACAGTTTTGGTTTCACAGCCTCTTCTAGCCCTGATTGTACAACGTGTGTAAAACAGGCCGATACAACAACTAATTACGATCAATATAACAACACTGGTAATTATAGCAACAACGCTACTAACTCAACGATTGATGGCGGAGGAGCTGCATCGGCATCATCATCATCAATCGATGAAGCAATATTTTACTTCAGACGCTATGCTTGGATCACCATGATTTTCATTGGGCTTTTTGGCAATTTTATGTCAATTTACATCTTCTGGAACCACAAGAATTGGGGGTCCGCTTGTACCCTTTACCTTTTTGGGCTTGGTTTCGCTGACACTGGCGTCATTATCATGTATGGCTTATTCGAATGGGGACGGCGTGAAATGCGTTTTCTGTCGAACGACACAGTTTACTTTGACGTGTTTGATCTGCATGATTACGTTTGTAAAACCTGTCGCTATCTTTGGCAGGTATGCGCGTTTACGTCGTCTTGGTATATTGTCGGGTTTTCTTTTGAGAGAATGATTGCAGTAACGTTCCCTCTTCGGGCCAAGAGCATCCTTTCCGTAAAGAAGACCAAGATCGTAATGTTCACTATTTTGATAATCGGTATCATTTTGTTCATCCCCGTGTTTACGACATACAAACTTGTGGAAAGCCCTGGATCGAGAGTCAAGGCATGTCTCTTCACCTTTGACCTGTGGGGAATCATCACGTTTTTGGAGATCATCATCATCTGCTATGATCTGCCCAGCGTTGTATTGTTCTTAATGAACATTTTCATAGTAGTTGGGCTGATCCGCACAAAAGCCAGACGAAAGAAGATGCGCACCACTGGATCAGTGGAGGCTGACAAGGCGGCGAATAAAGCCGCTATCAACTTAATTGCGATTTCGGTTCTCTTTCTCATTGGATCAATTCCAAAAGGCGTTTGCTGGGGAATATATTTCTCCTACTTCACCGCGGGCCAGTCTGGAAATGCGAACCCCGACGCAGCGTCGTTCTGGTTCGCTATGGGAAAATTCGCATCGGCGTTCAATCTCATCAATAATACACTCAACTTCATAATATACAGCTTCAACCTACCGTTCTATAGGGCCAAGTTCCTGCAGATCATTACGTTTGGAAAAGTCGGAGGAAAGAAGAAGAAGAAAGAGGATGACTCATCTACAGCTACGTCGACCATGAGCCTGAGTAAAGAGGAATCAAATGCATCTCTGGCTGATGTAAAAATGGAACCAAAAGCCTAGAAGAGCAATTCCGACTTTATCAACACTAAAATATCTCAGATATCTTGAACAAGCACTCTCAACTGATTACATCTATGAATATTATTGCTTGCTTTAGTTGTATATCAAGAAATTAACGTATACACTGTTTCAATTTCATTGACAATAAGGAGCTAGTCTCCAATGTGTCCAAGATTCCTAGTTAGATGTGTGAATGAATTATGTTGTACCTAACATTAATGATACATATCAACAATGCAAATAAATAGGACACTCCGCTACGATTTAAATTCTGATCAAAGTGAGAAAGTTACTTAAACATCCGGTTAGTCGATCAATTAATATTTCGAACTTCATTTATAGTTTTTATACCAACCAAATAAAGTCGCAGTACAGATGTGTGCTTATTTGAAGTAAATCCGTCAAGTGGTTTTCCTGGAACCGCGATGACAAGATTTATTTTAACACTTCTAAGATGGCCGCCAGGATTCAATATGGCCGCCGAAAAGTTAATCGGCTCTAGAACTGAGATGAAAGCATTTTATGTCAAGTACCAATCCAAAAACGTTCAGTATACCTAGTAAGTTCATCTGACCTTTAATCAAAAAGAATTAAAGCTCCTGAATTGAAAATGACATACTTTATTTTATAGCGTTAACCCCCCTATCACACCAAACTAGTTCTTATCCGTTCTTGCCAGTCCTACGAAAACGTCGTAAAACAGCTCAATCTGGCTGTGGTCGGGAAATATGTCTAAAATGATTAGCTACTTCGTTCATAAACAGTCTTCAATACGTCCATCTCATTCGCAGTTCGTTCAGGTCGCACCACGTCGGTGTGCAACGTCGTATAACGCGTCGTCCCTTAGTCTAGAAGGTCATCATGACCTGATAACAGAACGGTATGGTCGCCATCGAATTTTGAATCGATTCAAAATTCTAAATCACATTCCCCGTCCGGGAAAGTCCATGAAATTCGTAAACAGACCGTAGAACGTTGTAGCTACGTTCATTCCGTTCGCACACAGTTTAAAACCAGTTTTGAAGAACTAAATTCTAGAGGACCTACCCGTTCGAGTACGTTCGATTAAGTTTGTAAATAGACCCCAAACGGTTCTAAGTACGTCCAGTCCGTTCGTACATAGTTTAAGCCCGTTTTCGAGAACGTAGTGAGAGCTAGAACCCACTAAGAACCGTTTGGGATCTGTTTACAAACTTCATGAAACTACTAGAACGAGTAGGTCCTCCAGCACTTAGAGCATGCTCAACATTTTCTGGTGATCATCAAAACGTTGCCGAATCGGTTTTAAACTGTGTGCGAACTGAATGAACGTAGCTACAACGTTCGACGGTCTGTTTACGAACTTCATGGACTTTCCCGGACGGGGTATGTGATTTAGAATTTTGAATTGATGGCGACCATACCGTTCTGTAATAAGGTCATGATGACCTTTTAGACTAAGGGACAGTTTATACTACGTTGCACACCGACGTGGTGCGACCTGAACGAACTGCGAACGTGATGGACGTATTGAAGACTGTTTATGAACGAAGTAGCTAATTATTTTAGACATATATCCCGACCGCAGCCAGATCGAGCCCGTTTTACGACATTTTCGTAGGACTGGCAAGAACGTAGTGAGAACTAGTTTGGTGTGATAGTAGGGTTAGATAATGAACAATGTACGAGGAAAACGAGGGAAACGAGAATAGCACACTCTAATGAGGATTTGAGCTAACTATTCAAAAAGCAGAATCCTCACTATTAATCCAAGATGTATATTTTTCATGAGAGGATTACACTTGAAACCATGGTTAATCCTCCAAAAAGTTATATACATGTCAGCTCAAATATCAAAAAGTTAACCTGCTCAAATATCAAAATTTATCGAGTACATGTAAATACTCAACAACTTTGTTAAACTTTAAAGATTGTTGTATTTTTGTGTTTTATTGTTATTTTGTGTTTGTAAATAAATAAAAACACCCTTGACACATGTTATTCTTAATCATTCTAAGTCTAGATCCTAGGATTATGAGATCAGGGTAATGGTTCTTTGACAGTTGGGCCGTTTCTTTTTGCGCGATATCATTTTATGTCGGAGATTTCCATTAACTGGTTGTCTGTTCTGTTTTCTTGAAGACTCCATAAAAAGTTTGAAAATATGTTTTATCATTCATTTACTTTTTTCATGACTTTAAATGTTATTAGAGATTTTTCAGAAAATGAAAAAGGTGTCTGCTTATTACTTCTCAAATATTCAAAGTTTCCGCCATTTTTCAAATAAAAGTTCGAATTATCAAATATTCCACTATACAATGCGAAGCACGCCATCTTTTTAAAACTATTCAATAGGGCAGATATGACTGAAAAGTTTAATAATAATATCAAAAATCGCAATCTAAGCCTAAAATACGCGCTCATCACCTGGGTAAAATGAGAGAAGCGGAAATCTAGGCAGTATAGCGCCTTTGCTTTTCTTAGGGAAACTATGTCTTTCTTTTTCACACCCCCCTTGATGGCATGGCTATGTCCCGAAATCCCGTAAAACGAATCTTAATTTGTAAAAAGAATTAATTATTTTATGATATGATATGACGTCTCTATAAATAAATTATGCCCAAATGAGATTTCTCCGTTTACAATTTATCTGTCGAACTAGGGGAATAAGCTTTCCTTCCTGAAAGTTAAAGGATTCTTGACCCTTGCTTCAGGAATTGAGTTACTTCTAACTGTTGCCTAGCGGCCCTGACAAAGAATCCTATTAACGTACATATAATTTCTGTAAACCTGGATTACTATACGTATCGTACAAGTTGATCTCAACGTAACACGAGGTGACAGGAAAGGGAAAAGGGGTAATCATATTATTATTATGTTTAATCAGGATCCGGTTATAAGCGCTTTTAACTAAAGCGCTCTTGTGCGCTTCCTGGTGTAATTCAATATTGAGATTGCGTTAAACCGTATAGCGCTTGTTTAAACTGTTTAAGGCGTAATTCCAGTTAATGAAAGTTACCTAGTTCTATATTTGTGTAGCAGATTTCCTTAATCAACATTAAATATTCACGTAACCAAGAGACGGAGGAATTATCAAGTTTGAGGCCAAAGATGTTGTTTGATAACATTTTGTATGGTGTTTGTTAAACACGTTCTTGTTCTGATATTTGAAATTCTAAAATTTTATATGAATTTCATGGTAACCTCGATTGATTCGTAATCCAAATGTACATGAAACAAAACTACTATGTCATTATAGGTAGTCAGAATGATGGCTCAAAAGTGCCAGGAAAGTACTTTTTAGCATATTCATGAACTTGGTACCGTGTGAAAGCTTGAATTGTCTAGTTTTGAGATTCACTTGAAATGAATTACAAAAAGTGGCCCAAATGTGTCTAAAACGCCTGTTTTCGTAGTATCCACAAAATTACAGTGTTAATAATCAGAAAATATTTGTTATGCACAACTTTATTAAAATTGCTCCAATTTAAAGAGAATCAAGAGTTTCATCATTGAAAATTACATTTTCGCAAATTAGTTCATTTGCATATTATCAAGTGTCAGTACTTTTCATGCATTAGCGAGTCTGTATTAGGGCCGTCCCAAAATTTCTGCACAAATATATCTAAACTACAGGAAACTAGAACTATGAAACCGTAGCCCTCTGTTTTTGACACGAAAATACGAAATCTTTTACAGGACATCTGAAATAAGAACATCAGCATATATCTGAAATATCCTCACACGATTCTGTCGGATCGTAGACATGATCGGATTGGATTCTTCTATTCGAGAATAATATTTCGGATAGTTAATTTATATTTATCTTTTAAAGATAAACCATTAATTGCCTTGTTGCCAATTTTTTCTTGATATTTTCCGCGTTTCGCCTCCATATGATCTTATGATTGCCATCATAATTCCATACACACGAACGGGCTATATATTTTTTGAATCGGGATACCGAGTACATGTACAAGGAGGTTTCAGATGACGTCACGTTAGGGACATTTCAGAGCCTATTATCATTTATAGTTTATCTAGATTGTTTTGGATCAAATGATGATAAGTGAACGGCTTTACATCAGAGATAGTATTACAACATTTTTTGATAAATAATTCTCTATTGCTAAAGGATTCTGAGAGAAAATCGAAGTTTCGATCATATTTACAATGACATAACACTCGTTAATAAGTAACATATAGAATGCAAAATAATCGTAAGCCACAAAATTGTTTGTCTTTGCATCGATTACTGATGTAGTGCCACGCTCTCTTAAACCCCCATTATTAAATATATGGATCACCTGTCAGGGGCGTATGAAGTTATTGATATATCTTTATTGTGGCCCTTTATGTATCACTTACAACAACATGTATCAAATGTCATCGTTATGATCCTGTTTGATATCAAATCGAATATTTCGGGGGTTATTTACTTTAGTGATATAAGACGTTTTTGATCGTGTGTTATATATGTTTACACCATTTAAAAAATCCCGAACGTCATTTGCCCTATATCCTCTCGTAATACAATCGCATCCATTTCTACTGTAGGTATCCCATCAGTACTATATAGCGTACCGGTATTACACAGAAAAAGAATTACGCCGTGGGTAAACCTTTCTTAATTGAAAGAGTAAAATCCAAAAAGGTAATTTGCCGCATGATTATGCATTATTATGAAACCAATTAAGAAATGACTAGATATTGGCAGACAGAAATTCTAATTTCAGAGAATTACATTTTTGAAATTTTTTTGAACGATTGCACACGTGAGCGTAGAATCCAAACGAAAAAACGTGATTTCTGCTTAGTTCACACGAGAAAATTTAAAATGATTCGGGTAAAGTTAAATATTAATTTCACAATTAGAAGTTTGCATTTTTTGGTCACTCTGTAATAATGCAAGTAGCTTTGATGCTCCCAATCATCAAGATTTGAATAATGTTGATAGATGGATTGCAACTACATATTACATGTTTGTTTTGAAAGTTATTGTTATTGATTGTTAAAAAGTTAACCAGCTCTAGATTTTCTTTCTTTGTAACATAGTACTATGTAAAAATTTGAAGTTACTCCGTAACTTCGTACTAAGATTTTAGGACGGAAATTCAAAATGGCCGCCTTTATACTTACACTAATTCCAGTTAAATTCCTCGACAGACAAGATTTTAGGACGGAAAATCAAATATGGCCACCATAACTTAAGTTTTACCAAAAAAACAATACTAATCAGTCTTAAACTTTCAGACGTAGAAACATCCTTGAACATTTCAGAAGAATCCCTGAAACGATTTGGCTGGAAACCTGGAGACAAGCCGAGAATGAGACGCCGCCCGCCCACCGCCCGCCAGGCTGACATCAATATCGCACCTTTTTAGGTACGATAAAATGCCATTTTTGAAGAAACGAACAGCAATACCAGTCACCCTTATTCGTATGGTCTCTTTTCTTCAAATGTTTAACATATGTTAAATGATATCATCAAAACAGAGACCTTCATACAACCTTGGAAACTACATGTATTTTACTGAATTCTGTAGTTGTATTTTAGACATAAAGACCGAAGAGTAGGTATGTTGGTCGTTCGGAGCACAGAAAACGTTTGCCCTAATGTATTTTTACTCGATATAATACCTGATCTGAGGTTTATATTACGATTCGAACATGAAAACTCGATATTTTACAAAATCGTCACTTCATTTATTTCTTCCGGTTTAGCGTTCAGCACTGAACGTATCGCATATCGTCTATATTCGTCTACTTGGAAGCATTAATATTGGTCTCGTATATGTCATACAATCAATACTTGAACCACAACTAAAAGTTGTCAACCATTATGCGAACTTCATGATCGGACATAAGTATGATGCTACTTTATCACCTTGTAGTACACATCATACGTATGTCCAATCATAAGTTCGAATAATAGTTGTGCTTCAAATATTAATTGTATGACATATACGAGACCATTGTTAATGCTACCAGTGGGAATCGGACCTTATGGCCTTACTTTTTCTACATGTTTCTTTCGAATATCGAAAATTCGACATGTGATGCATATTTATTAGTTTTTCAAAAAAATTTACAAATATTTCGTTGCAGTTTTATCTTTACATCGTAATTTCAATCACCGCTATCACTTTTCAAACGAGTTACCTTGAAACCTCAACACGTCATGCTGTTCTCATACTCATAGACCTTAATGTGACTGTCATTCAACATTTATTAAGTAGTAAAAAATTAATTTGCTTCATGTGTGACAAAAGGTTTCTAGTTTCCTGGTGAATGTCGAGTCTCACATCATACGAATGTAATTTTAGGCGACCTGTCTGCATTGGGTGAGGTTCAGAAAACTTTTATGCCCCACCCTGCGGTATTTATTCGTCGATATAACACCTGGTGTTTGGTCCATATTTCTTTAGTATACCCCTAAACGAAAGTAAATAAATAAAAAGCACTCAAATTTAACTTTTATTGTATCATATTATCCAAAAAATGACTGTCATCGAGGGCAGAAATGTAGATTATTTCCACAAGGGAATATACTATCCCCGAAGCCATTGTATATGATATCAATATAGGTATATAGAGATTATCCTATATGAGGTTCAGGATATTGGGATTATAAGGGATAATCCAAATATCCTGAACCGACTATAGGATGATCTGTTTATCCCATACCAATCACACTGTTCAACTGGCCAAAGTTCAGAACTTTGCAACCAACCGTGGAATTATTTTAAAATATTCATGTCCAGTTTTGTATTCTTGTCCGTAGCCGGATTTTTCTGTTCAAATCTTTGATTATTAACGGGGCATACTGCTCCTTCCCTTCTTTAACGGGAACAGCGATTATGACGTAGCGGGCAGATATACTTCATCTGCCCGCTCGGAGCGAGACGTAAAGCTATATCTGCCCGCTGATGAAAATATAAGTTTTTACAAACCGGCTTTATGTACCCGTAACACGACCAAGTATGGGATAAATATTAGTACAGGATGGCATACGTTATCCCAGGGGTGAACCATGATCAGTTTAACAAAATCCTATACTTGTTCGTATTTTTGTTACAGTGACGTCAGTTTGAATAAAACACTGAGGTCATGTTCCAGAATAAAGATAATGGACTCTCATCGGCAAACTATATTGTGCAATGAAAAATTTAGTTGACAAATATCCATTTTGTTTACAACGGATTTGATTAATCGAAATAAGTGCAGGGGTTGTTGTGCAAATTAAATACTAGACGTTTTATTGGTGCTTTGTTTTTAGCAAATAATATAAATACTTTTCTTCACTCAAATTGATCTAATTCAAAGGCGTAGGCAGGAATGAGGCGGATGTTTTTAAGTTTATAATCGAAATAGAGATAAAATGTCTTATGATAGTGTTCATATAATATGTACATAATTTATGTATTAAAGGCGACTGTCATTCATGTTATTGCAATACCACTAATAAGTACATTTATTTAGAATTTTAAATGCTCTTGGCGCTACTACCTGCGCGATGTTATAAACTATGAACATCACTTTCAGTCGAACAATCAAGTAGGAATGGGCTTTGTTGGCAATTTTGGATCAGTGATCAACTTAATCATTGATCCCGAAAGAAAGTGCGGTTTATTTTGATTGGTTTAATGAAGACCGTCTCCCATCTTGATGAAATACAAAATGTTATATCCTGAAGGAGTCTGTGTAAGGTCTCATGGTTGTTAACAGAAAGTGACAAACAGGAAGTGACAAAAACATGCTGGATTTTTGAAAGAGTTCTCTTTTGACTTTTAGTTAGTTTTACTTATTTCACATATCGTTTACATGATCAGGATCACAATGGCCATGATCAGAATAACCCTAAACATGATGAAATAGTTTTTCCAGCCCTCTAAAATAGTGACTGAAAAATAATTAAAAATTGTACTTTCGGAAAGGTCACCAATCCTTTGAGTTTTTCAGAAAATGTGCTCAATATATTGGTTTAAATAGTAGGAGTTTTGCAAATGGGGGGGGGGGGGGTGTTTAAATTTTGGAAGTTTTTTCATGCATTTCGCTTATGTTTTTCATTCAAAAACATCAATACACTTTTATTGACTATAAGATTGCACCATGTAATCCCCAAAAAATATTTCTCATTTTTAAGGATTATCTATGGATTAATAACCAAGTATTTTAATTTTTCAAACTTCAGAGGGCTGGGAATTGTTGATAACCGAACGTTTTTGAATAATATAAATGTTATTTTAAATAGGTTTCATGTATGCCAATAATTTCTCAAATTGCGTAATCTGTACACATTCCTTAATCCCTAGAATTTTCTCTTTGAGGGATTTCCCATGGAAAACCAATGGTACAGTTCCAAGCAGATTTTGAGATAACAGGAAAGTAAATGTTAAATAATATACACACCTTATTGGGTTGTTTTGGTTTATATCGCAATTATATTGTATTGTTTTAATCCTTGAAAATGAGAAATATTTTAAAGTGTATAGATGTTTTTTGGATGAAAAACATAAGCGAAATGCATGAAAAAATTCCCGCAATTCATTCGACAAACAACTCCCCGTCCTTTCGATTCATTCTTAGACATATAGAGTCTCAAAAAATGTACCCAAAAGTATATCAACAGCACAGCTAAACCGATCAACATTTTTTGCATGGTCAAGTAGCTAAAGCATATAATTTTTATCCCCAATACACAGTTTTTAGTTCAGTGTTGCCTTTTTTATGGTTTAACCCTTTAATCTTTATTTCATATTTCAATGTCAGCCTGCATCCATCCATCTATATTGTTCATCACATAATTGATAATTGATAACACATTGATAATGTTTCTGGAGAATGTTTTGAATTTCTCTTTGGATGTTGGCCTTACTTTGTTGTAGGTCTTTTGGCTTTGGATAGGCTTAAAACTGCTCCTTCAAAGAAGTTTGATGATGAAGACAACAGAACAATTACAGAAAATCAGGTCAATTATCGTCAAATGAGCAGTTGAAAATGGAGTTCCACCTTCCAGAGTTATGGAGACTGATTGATATCAAAATGAGAACACTGTAGTGTCAAAAAGATTGAGCCCCTCCACGTACAGCAAGGGCCCCACAAGAATTTCCATGAAAGCAGTTTCTACAACGTCTGATCTCTCTGAATAAAGACATTACGAGAGCCTCCCTATTCACAAGATTGACACCCCGACTTTTTTCTGGGGTAACTTGAAGAACCATATTTATGCCACCAATCCCAAGCCAAGAGACAAGTTAAAACAACTTAAGGCCAATACCTGAAAGGAAATTCAAAACGTTTCACCAAAACCATGAAATGTGATTGACAATGTAGCAGTAAGGCTGCAGGCTTTCATCAAAATATGAGGAGGTTAGATTTAACACATGGTATAAAAAGGGTTAAGGCATTAAAAGGGCATAACTGAACTAAAAATAAGTATTGCGGAGAAAACTTTCAGGTTTTGCCTAAATGGCGATGCAAAAATATCTGAAAATATTGATTGGTTTATCTTTGGTGTTGAATTACTTTTGGGTACATTTTTTGAGACACCCTATATAAAAAACTTATTTGAAAAGTGATCTTTTTCATTTTTATAACCGCCATTTTTGTTTTAGACAATTTTTTCACTTCTACTTTTTATTCGACCTTTTATATATTTTATTATATGATATTTATAAGACTATAGCAATTTATTACTACATGGTATATATTTATCATTTAAAAAGCTCAAAATCAAGGTTTCTGTACACAAATGGGACTGAATTATAAATACTAAATATTAAACATCGGTATACCAGCACAAGTTCAGAGTGGAATAACTCATGAATTGCAATGAACGTCTCAAAAAGCATTAAACAATCAAATCACTTATGATTGCATATAACGTACAGCCTTATACAAAGTGGAAGCATGTCCGACGTGTAACATCTTCCCATTCATTTTTATCTAAGGAATGTATTTCTGAGCTTTCCTACAGTTTTGTATTACCATCTAGATCTGCTAATTACTTTATTTCCATCTGAATGCAAAGCTTTTTCCATTTCATATACATTTCAATGGCCCCTTTGAAAGAATCAGCTCCAGGTAATGAGGATACCCGTTTGACAACAATATTCCACCATTTAGTATCGTTCTCGACCATACTTTCAAAATCTGACACTGTTCGTATGTCGTCATCATCTTCACCATATGCCATTCTCATTCCAGTCATAACTTCTTGTAAACATTTTCCAAAATCCACCCCCCCCCTTCTTGTTACATAACATGTGATGGTCTCTTACATATGTTTCCACTCTCGAGGCATGTGGTGAATCAATACATTTAAACAAGAACTGGAGGGCGTAGACAATTTTAAAGTGTGGTACCGATAATTCTTGGGAGAAATTAGTTTTGATTTTTTTGTCATCCTTGATATGCGTATAGAGACTGTTTACAAAGTCACAAACATTACCATGTTTTGGTGTATTTAGATTATCAATGAAATCATTAAGTTCCTTAATTTCATTGCCAGTCAGGAAGTTTTCAACGCGACCGGTCAGCTCTTTCCTCATGGCATCTTCAATATCTTCTTGCTGTAGCTCCTCTGCGATAGTTTGCATTTCTGAGTCAGTGTCGTTACCGTAGTGGTCCAAATTATACGTGAATGTTTCACGAGGTCGTTCAAAGTTGTGACCAGCGTCTTTATTTTTGCATTTATCGATACTATCACCAAGTGTTCCTTTCTTGCGTGTCATCGTGGTGTCTGAAATCGGAAACAATTGCTTTAACAACAATTTTTAAGACACTAATTCAGTAGCTTACAACACATTTCAGTTGTATTTTAGAATCAACTCTGCGACAACAATACTAATTGTGTTTTTAAGATATTGCCGATGGACACGTCTAGCTTTTACCTGGATTCCATACTATGTTCTTACCCTATGCAATCCAATGTCTTGAACATCTCCTGAGGCGACGTTCAAAACGTTTAATTGTTTTAGATTTTGAATTAAGTTTAAAATTTGTACGCCAGTTTCCATCTGTTCCAGTTGTTTTAAGTATACATAGCATGTCTTGAATCATTAGTCTACACTTCTGGGAGTCTTTCACTTCGCCTCCCATGATGAGCTTCACTTGAGGGAAGTTAATATCCCTGAGTACAGCTGATGGATTTGTACACAACTCATCCAATCTGTACAAAGACATCTCCAGACATTCATCCAAATGCTTGTTCTTGCATTTCATCTGGTGCTGTTCTACGATGATAGTTAGGGCATGTGAACTAACGCCAATTTCATACACCTCCCTGATGTATTTTAAGAAGACTACAAGTTTTTGATGTCTTTGGTCGAGTTTCACTCTTGGACTATCAGCAGGAATATCGTATATAGACACAGTCCAATGAGCACATTCAGTTCCATAGTTACAGTTGTGATTCCACCATTGATCTGGATCCCATTGCTTTATAAATGGTAGTAAGACATATCGGCCTACTTTAGGCTTGGTGCAAACTTCAAGTCCAAAGTTCAGATCTACATCTGTTATACACATAGGTGCCCCAACTTGAAGCTTCACGCATGGTCGTCCGAGTTCTACTGCTACTCTTATCTGACCAGGTTTCAATTCGGGAGTGCCCGGATGAACATGGACCTTTCCAAGATATTCCATTTTAAGCGTGCCTTCACGTGAAAGAAGATCAAGTGCCTGGTGTACTTTGTACCAAAATAGCTTACTGATCTGATTTGTTATCATTGAGTTATGAACAATTCCAAGTTTACGACGTAACACAACAGAGGGATCTTCTTGGGCGCAATCATCCCATAATTCCTTGATTTGTTGCTCCAAGTGCGGATCTTCAATCTTTATGGTTCCTATATTAATGTCATAGTTGAGGGTGTCATCAACACATTTGAGTTTGGTTTTATCGTATGCGATGAGTAAGAGAAACAAATAGTCGAACTCATCTGGTTGCAAGACCTTTGTACGTTTCTCAAAACTACCAGTGTCGACCTTTCTGTCTACAACAAAGATGTCGCATATCTCTCCAAGTTTCTTTGAGATTTTCTCAACTAGATCTACTACGACAGCTTTATGGTCTTGGATATCTTTACTTCCATAGTCCAATTTAATTCGACTGTAAACAGCTTCTATGAAGTCCACAGCTCTGTTGTGGCCAATTAATTCTCCTTTCGATTTATCCTTTTCGTTTCTCAATTCATCTGAAAGATGTTTTCTAGTGTGAAAAGTCCCCTTTTTTCCTACAGTTATGGATTCAAATTCACAGTTTCCTCTAAATATGACAATATACATGTACTTCATTTTATTTTGCAATTGAGAACTAGTGGGTAAAATACATACCTGATTGTTTTATAAGACTGACGAAGTGTACATGAGGCATGTACCCGAGTTTCACAGAGTATCGTGCTTCTTTTCCATCCTTTGCCTGAATTACATACGGATGGCTCGCATCTGAAGAGAAAATCTGGATATCTGTTTTGTAGACCTGGCTAAACGCCCAGATGACGATCAGATCACCCCATGTGCCTGTTTTGTTCATGTATTCATCAGTATACCAACAATGCTGAATTGCCATAAGGTTTTCTTGATCTAGTTCTGCTATACCGGAATAAGTCCTGGCGTACTGGTGCCACTCTGGAGGTTCTTCAAAAAGACTCATCACATGTTCGCCGTTGCCCTTGAAAATATGTCGAAGAGAAAACTTAAATTATAGAAGAATGGAAATGAGAAAAACATATATTGGAATGTTCATAGTGATGTTCATTTAATCTGGTCTACAAGAAAGAGAAGTCATTCAAACAATATTGACCCAAATGATTAGCTTTTTGACGTTGACATTCAGGTTTCGGAAAGTTGGATGGTTTCAGATGTAATTTATTATTTTCTCTGAATATCGTTTGTCGGTAGAAGCTGTATTTTTAGCGTTGTTTTATCATTTGCATTTTTGACTAATATAAATGGCTTTCATGCTTTCTTCATATAAGATTAGATGTGTTCTAGACATTTACCAGAATGGTATGTTCCCTAACATATCGGACCAGCTTTTTTCGTAGATTAACATGTCCAATATCTTCCTTAGTTACGCCTTGAATGACGAGTTGATGTGATAGGGCTTCAAACAGGCAATCCCCCTGGGCGTCATTCTGAACTATTTTTAAGCCAAATGACTTCACAATTTTTGCCAGCGATGGTGAATCTGATAACACTGGCTCTTGTCCCGTACTTTTAGAAAGAGGATGTTTTTCTTTACTCTTTCTAAATGATTCGTGGAGGTTTCTCAGACCAAAATACTGCGTATCAGACTTTATCTCTTCTTGCACTTTCGATTCCGAAGGTCTAACTTTCTGTAACCTAAAGTACAAGGTTTTAATCATTCAGATTGAATATAGAGGGTATCCAGAAAATATGTGACCCGCTAGGCAGACATATACCAATGTCTCCATAGGATGTGTCATATATCATTTTAGAGCTTACACAAGTTACATAGATCTGCCAAATATCATGATTGAGCTCACAAACGTATTATTTGATTAACATTAAAGTCTAGATCAGTATCCTGGAAACAGCTCTGATCTGAATGTGACCGAAAATATGTGTGCTATGTCAAAGATAGGATGGATATTGATTTAGAAAAAGAGGATGATGAGGGCAGATACTCCAAGCAAACTTGGTATATTGTAAATTGGTATATGTTTGCCAAGAGGGGGTCCCATAATTTCGGGACACTCTGTATATACTTTCTTTGTATCCTCTTTTCTGGAATACATATATACGATTACTTACACACATAGATTTAAATATTTTGTCGACGATTCACTATGCCGACGTATAGTGAATCGTAGCGATTCACTATACGTGATAGCTAGCACTTACACGTACTGCGACTTTGTTTCTTTACTTGACCTGGATTGGGCACCACTTTGTTGTAGGAAAATCCCATCTAAAATAACAGACTAAATATTAAATTCGGATGAGAACACCTAATTGGCAAAATTTGGAAACACAATTGAAATACATCTGCAAATAAGTCAAAATTAAAATCAATTAGTGAATGCCATTCCCCTTCGCTTTCTTTTCCTTCGTTCCTTTCGTATTTGGCTTTGGCTTGGTCTTTTTGTTCTGCACTTGCCCAAAATACTTGCCAACTGACGATTCTTAAAATATAAATGAATTTACACGTCGCACGAAACTGGGGACAATTAGCGTAACATTATGGCGTCAAAAACCGAGACAAAACAATGAGCAGAATAGGGCGCAAACAGCCTTACAACGTCAAAAACGACAAGCGTCACATTTTTGTCAAGTTTAGTCAACCTAAAAATAAAACACTTTATCCTTATCTAATCATGACAAAATTCACAGGGTAGCAAGATCTCGAGGACAATATTCCTAAAATGTTTTTCAATTTTGAAAAACGGTCAGGAAATCCACTTGGGGCGTTGGTAAAAATTGATATGTATGGAATTTGTGGTAAAAAATCGATGCGTCACATTTTTTTCAAGTCTCGAAAACCAGCTCTTATTTTAATATTATTTACAAAATAAACAAACCGGTTATTGTTTTGTAAATTTCGCCATGACAATATTGTGCAGTTAATTTTTCTTTCAAATCTGACTTAAATTAGAGGGTTAAATGAAGGTAAACTTATTGCTCGTCCCATTCGCCTTCAAAACCTTACAAAATTTTGAAAATTTTAAAAGCGTTCATATAAGATAAATTGAGCTGGAGCCGTTAAGCAAGTGTGACGTCATAAATGAACATGTTCCATTGAATAAATTTTGAAATTTTAGTGGGATTTTTATCATTATTTCAAAAGTTATCCCAATTTCAACGAGCCCTGTAAGCGTAAAGTGTTACGTCTTACAGCGTATTTGACGATGTCGGGATATATTTAACTTTAGAAATATGTTGGATCCCTTTAAAATTTTGAAGGAAAAATAATTTCACTGAAATGCGAATAAAAATACTTCAAAATGATATATAAAACACATAGCTAGCTTTTTAAATAAGGCAGAGATTAACGCTCGAAGCTGAGATTAGCCCGTATTTCCCGAATTGTCCCCAGGTCCGTGCACGTCATAATTACTTTTTACATTCTGATGATCATAAAAAATTCAATTTGACCTTCTTTTACCTTCTTCACATTGCTACATTAAATTATACCGGTAATCTATAAAAAAAATCTTAACGTTAATTTATTACTACAGTACCTGGTGGTGTTTTTGGTATTCTACGTTGACTTGTGAAATCATCTGAAATACAATAATGGGTTTAATTTTGCATTTGCTAAGCATGTTCAGTAGAAAATTGTTATTAGTGCCATCTATGTTAAAACAGAGCATGTACAAGTACAATTGATTTGTGTATTTAGGTATCAACGAAATAAATGCACTCTGACCATCAAAACCAAAATGAATTTCTGTCGTGTCATTGAGTTCCTCTTCTGTGAAATGAAAATATCCACCAGTTGGTTTGACCTCATTCTGTGTTTGACTGTCTTCTCCCGAGGATGATGACGTGTCGCTTGACGATGTACTTTCTGCAAATCATTACGTTAGATTATAACACATTCTTGTTTGTCTTTATTTTTCTATAAATCAACAAGGTCGGTTATATAATAATCTTGGGCTATCTAATGAGTTTTCGGGAAAAGTCGTCGAGATTTGATTCTAAAAATTAATATGCAAATAGCCTATTTCACTTGAAACCTTACCTCCAGATTCCTCAAGCGATGGATTTCCCCCTCGTGGCCCAGGCTGGTTTATTTCGTCCTCAAGGTATAATGTACCTGTTGTTTTATGTTCAAAGGATCATTGCATACCTGTTAATGTAATTCGAATAACACGCATTTCAAACTTTGGTATTTGATAATGTTATGTGGTATTAAATGCAAACTCTCAACAAATTCTTTGTACAAGTTAGTAATTTCAAGCAATTGCCACGTACAAGTGGTACATTGTTACCTTAATGGATGCAACAATTAGATACAACATTATGAACATACCTAAACCTGGTTGGCTTTTTGCTCTATCAACTTCAGGAGATGTGTGGGCTAGTCCTCTCCCCCCTACCTTAAACTCATTTGACTTGCTTTCTTTACTCGCCTGAAGGTTGGAAGGACACGACGCAAATATTCCCCTGGATTGTCCTACAAAGAAGATCAATGACAAAATATTTAAAGTGTTCCTCTACTTTTTGCTTTATTGTGTTAGTTATGATATCGTATATCTGTTATGTTTGGTCATGGGAATAGATATTCCACATGTGTGTCGTAAAAAGTCACTCACTTTCGTCAATTTTGTCTCTTTTGCCATCCATTTCAGTGTTTGCTTTAGCAGGAGCGGCCCGCTCGTTTGTCAAGCTAGACACTAAACCCGCATGCTCTGTAACAAGATAATGGGCATCTGTTAAAAGGAAACGTTTGTGAATTGACCCATATTTATTTTGATATTTAACAACACTTTTTGTGATCATTTGATGAGATTATTTAATCGCATGCTTCACCATTGGTTTCAAATACACGAACGCAAGGTATATCTCTGAATCTCTCTGAGCAAAATACGAGGGGTGATCAATAAGTAATGGACGCTTTTTTACACGGATGCTTTTTATAGACCAATCCCTTCGATTTTCTTACCAGTGATACATCATTCAATTATCTATCAACTCTGAAGATTTGAAGACAAAATATATAATACATGTCGATATATCCTAATTTCCGTGGAGGAGGTACGGGTACCCCGGGACCGACATTTACGTCACATATTCTGAAGCTATTTTAGCTTGTTTAACATGCAATGCAGTTGAATGCAGGCTGAACAAAACAAACCATTATGGTCATGAAATACTCCATTTTGTTATGCCATAGTTGATTTTGAATATTTTATCATCACTATGAGGTATTCATGCCACATTCATTCCACAGGGCCCTCTAAATAGGTTCCATCAAGTGCTACATGTACACAATTCCTCATCCTCTTAACTCAAGATTGTGAGACATGGCTGAATCCATTCTCTGACATTGTAGCAAGATACAGTTGCATGGGTTGTTTTATTTAATTAGTGTTAATAAACCTGCGTCCGTTCTCTATAGAAATAAGTAATATAGAAATAAACAAGTCACATGTGAGCAGATGTGGACAATATAATGCATTGGTCAAGGGCTCAATTTTGAGGTCCAGGGATATTGTTTTCTGAACATTTTGAGATCTGTGGACAGGTGCATTGTCCATATGGAGAAGGGTGTTCCCTTCTCTCACCACCCCTTTCTTCCACAATGCTTTCTCAAATTGACCTGCAAACCCGTTCCATACAACACTCTGACATTTACAATACTTTCTGTTTATGTGTTACAGGTCAGCAAAAAATTTCAAACAATACAGCACTTCTTGCATATAAAAAGTTCAAATCTAACTCAAATTTACCAAACTGGCTAAAGACTGAATATGTGACGTAAATGTCGGTCCCGGGGTACCTGTACCTCCTTCCCGGAAATAAGGATATATCAACATGTATTATATATTTTGTCTTCAAATCTTCAGAATTGATAGATAATTGAATAATGTATCACTGGTATGAAAATTAAAGGGATTGGTCAATAAAAAGTATCTGTGTAAAAAAGCGTCCATTACTTATTGATCACCCCTCGTATGTTATGTGAAATTATTTACAAAGTATACTACTTATATCTGAGAATCTCTCTGAGCAAAATGTGTAATGTGAAATTATTTACCAAGTATTTTGAATATTTCCACCGATACTTCAGCTGCGATACGATTCTGTGGATCGATCGCTACCATTCTGTGGATGACAGCCTTAACCGCCTTAACAATTTCAATGTCTTCTTTGTTTACAGGCGCAACTGTAATTTCCGACTGTTTGTCCATTCCGACTGCCTGATTTAAAAGTAGGCCAATTGGTTGACAAACGGGAGAAGATTTTATTAGCATGCCCATAGTACCAGTGCCAACTGCAGAATAATGTAATTTAATAATTACAGGGTGGTCCAAAATGATGCTAATCCTATGTACATTTCTACTCCAAAATATACCGCATTTTGACTGAGCATACTTCAGTCAATTTTGGATCTGCTGTAAAGTTTATAGATGCAATCCATTTAATTATAAAGTATTTAATTAGCCAACGTTTCACATGAAATCCATTTCTAAAAAATATACACAATATACACAATTTAGTGCTGTTTTTCAGAAATTCTTCCGAAGCAGTTAAGAAAATGTTGATTGCTATATACATTTCATAAAATAGCATTGATGAGATGTATTTACATATATGGTTTAGTAAAAAAACTATTATTGTGGCAATGCCAAATTAAGGAATGTTCAAAATAATTAAATTATATTTAAGAGCATGGAAGAAGGAACATGTGAGAGATGGGCGATTGCATAACCCGGAAAGCTAATCAAGTAACAAAATCGATCATGGATTCCACTTCCAATTAAGGCAATACTGAACTACCAATCATTTATAAAGCTTTACAGACAAGCTATTAGCACATATAGCATTGGTATTCTTAATACTTTGTACCTCATATCTTACCTACAGAAGGTATAATATCCCCATCTAATTTTTCAGCGTCGAGCATACCACTATATATTAATCCAAGGGCAAAAATATCAACACTAGCTGTATACCGTTCATCCCTGAACATCTCAGGTGCCATGAAGCAAGGTGTGCCGACTTGCGTGCTCATCATGTAGCTCTTCATCATATTTTGCTTTCCCTCTGCCAGTTTAGACAGCCCAAAATCTGTCAACTGTTACAAACATGAAAGACTGTGTGTTTTATGTGACACTGGCTCAGTGGAAAATGAAAAGCATTTTATGTTGGATTGTGTTTTTTATAACGACTTAAGGTCAGACTTGTTCAGAAAAATTGTATGTCGACTCCCTGCTTTTCTTCACATGGACAGAGATTTGAAATTTTTTAACTTAATGAGCAACACCAGTATTTACCTATATGTTGCAAAGGCCTGTGGCCAAATGCTTAAACTTCGTGAAAATTATCTATATAAATGATTTACATGTATTTATAGTGTCCTATAGGTCGTTGTCGGCCTGGGGTGTTTTAATTGTATTTTATATGTTTTATGACTCATGACACTTTAATAAAATAAAATAAATAAAAATACAAAAATCGGGAGCTTTTAATATCTATATCTTATAGGTTGATAATAGACTATTTAGTAAGCGATGCAAGAAAGCTTATCGACCCTACCATTTTGGCGTTCATATTTGACTTTATTTCTGTTTTCTTTCAGTAAAAAATGGTTTGAGATTGAAATCAACATGCAAAATACGAATTTACCCAAAATAACGACTGTGCATTCATCTTACCTTTATGACAAGTTTGTTATCCTTAGTTTTGAGCAAGATATTTCCAGGTTTTAGATCGCGATGTACAAGTCTTGCATCATGTAAATGTGCCACACCAAGCGACATTTGATACATAAAATCGACTTTTAGAGCGACATCTATATTTCCTTTGTTTTTCTTGAAGTATTGAAGAAGGTCACCTTTATCACAGTATTCCATGACAATCCACACTGATGTTTCTATCGTAAAGAAATCAAACAACTTCACGAGGTTGTTATGGTCCCCTAGATTCTGTAAGAGTTTCGTTTCTTCGTTTGGATCGATGCCTTTGGCCGTAAATTGTACTTCCTTAACTGCGACTGACTCTCCGCCTGTATGACATCCCCTTAATTTGTTAAAACAAAATTAAATAATGATACAAATAATATTCATACATGCATGTCAACCTCAAGAGTTATTTTACATTACTACTAGTTAACAAAAATGTTTATTCATCACTTGATAAATGATTGCTTCACCTGTAGACGACTCCATATTGACCTTGTCCAAGCTTAGAAAAAAGATTCACTGAGTATTTATCGCAGATGAAAAGTCCTCTGCTCCTTGGCCATGATTACTTTTGTATTATACGTATTTTTCTTGTCACGTACTACATGGTTCTAATCATTAACGTTAGACCTAAATCCTCAGCGCAAATTATTTGAAATTAGGGGTTCGAATGGTATCGAAATATTGATTAAGTGGGGGAGGGGATCACCTATTTCCGGTTGCCATCATTCTGAAAAAAATCAAAACGAAAGTTAAATTGTTTAGGGTTACCTTAGTCTTTATAATTTCAATATGCTCCTCAAACAAAGGAGAAATAATCTAAAATATGTAAAATAACGTACTTTTTCAGTATTCCTTCACCTCAATCTTCAATGGAAGAGATGTGGTCTCAATCCATAATACGCCTAGGCAGCTAGCTCAACACGGGAAATTGAAGCCGATGTTCGTTTCAAGCGTTTATACAGCGAGGAGGTCAGACGCAAACAACTCTCATTATTCAAAGAACACCTTAAGAAGTTAAATGAAAAGGAAATGAAACTAGTTGCTGAGCAGATCGGAAGGCTAATCAAGTTAAAAAGTGATCGATTGGAACAATTTGTTGATGTCATCTATAACTATGCGAGAATCGATTACACCAGCCCTGAAATAATAAAGCACGTTGAATACATTGAGAAATATGTGAAAGATATTACCGAAAAACTCGGGGATAAATTCCCTGTGTTTAAGATAGCAAAAGTTATTCCAACCGAAGGCTACAGCGACAAGACCATGGTCTTCAAAATCGTAAACAAATTGTTTCCTATGATGGTGCCCTGTCTGACACCCAAACTGTTTCCCAGGGAGTCCCTCAGGGATCCGTTTTGGGACCACTTTTATTTATAATTTATGTTAATGACCTGTTCACGGCGTCACAAAGTCTTAAATCTGTTTTATTTGCAGATGACACTAATCTTCTAGCTTCTGACCATAATTTAACTAGACTTGTAAATACTGTCAATAAGGAACTCATTACTCTTGATGACTGGTTTAAAGCAAACCTCCTTTCTTTAAACTATTCAAAAACAAAATTCATCGTCTTCTCCAAAAAACGAAAAAAGGTTTGTCAACAAATTGAAATATTCATAAATGGAAAACAAATTGATAGGGTTCATGAAATGAATTTTTGGGGGGTAACAATTGATGAATTCCTTGACTGGAAAAGTCACATAAAAAATGTGGAAAGAAAAATATCTAGAACCATTGGAATCTCATTCAAATGCAGATACTTACTAAACATAAAAAGTATGTTAGCAATTTATAATTCTTTAATATACTCCTACTTGAATTATTGCACAATCATTTGGGCCGGAGCATATTCAGCTTTGGATAAACTGCTCAAATTACAAAAATCATACCTTCGTCTCATGGCAGGAAAAGACAGGTTTGAGCACTCAGCTCTACTATTCAAACAATTTAGAATACTACCAATGCATGATATCTATCAATTAAATGTTGGAATTTTTGTTTATTGCTGGTATAACAATATATCAGTCCACCGCAAGATTTTTGAAAACTATTTTACGTTAAATTTTGACATTCATCGATATGAAACTAGACATTCACATGATATCCATGCCTTCAAGTTCAAAACAAATATTGGCCTTTATTCACTGAAAGTTCAAGGTCAGCAAATCTGGAATTCTATATCTCATCATATTCGACAAGCAGCCTCACTCTCAATTTTTAAGTGTCTGTTCAAACAAAATAAAATAGATGACATACCTTTATAATTTTAAAGATTTGAAAATGTCTTTACCAATTGAAAATCTGTACTCTGCCACATTTTTGTCTTATCAACTTATATATATAAATATTATAAACTTAGCAGCAATTACCTGTTCCCATGCCCTGTGTCTCTGTCCCCGAGTGTTAATATTTTTACATTTTTGAAATGATTTCCAACAGACTTGGGCCAGTGTCATTCTCAGGTATTTCTCCACTCAATTTTTATTTTGTCTTACCTGTTGGCGTCACTGACCCATTTCTGTTCAGTTATAACCAACATATATGCTCTTGAGAGCGTCATGTTGTATTGAATGTCATGTATGTTTTCAAAATAGTAATAAATATCTGAATCTGAAAAAAAGGCGCCCTGATTACGTTAGGCTCTACCTTGTATCCGTTCTGTCCTATGATAATACAAAGTTGCAATTGGCTGTTCTTGACACTCAAAAAGGACACCATCGAATAAACAGTGGTCAAATTAACATCAAGGATCCATTTGTTCTAAAGGAGCTCGGTGAATTGTCGAAGAAGTACGCAATAAAAAAGCAACTGTTAAATCAAACTGTAGAAAAGAGCGAAGAATGCATGGCTTTGAGTATTGACATTGTCGAAATTCTTAAAAAAGCAATTGATGAGTGTACCACTATGCTATCCAAGGATGTTAACGTTACAGCTAGTGGCCCCAATATTCGGATGTCTATTAAAGCACCATTTTGTGACACTATCGTCGATCTGTCCTTTTGTTTTGAAGAGTCGTGTTCTGAAAATGGAAGATGTGTAGCTGTTCCGAAAATTCCAAAGTCAACTTCAATGGATTCGAAATTGAAATGTTCACTGGGGGATGCACCAATCGATTGTCATTGGTCACTAGAAATGTGCGATCACCCATTGGAAAGCAAACGACGTCTACCCGAGGAGGATCCGAATGTGAAGCTTCTTGTTGTGTTGAAGTTCTTATCACATCCTCCACTCGACTACCGCATTCTCAAAACAATGATTATGCAGCACTTATTGAGCTGTTCCGAGGGTCATGCGACGCTTGCAACGTGTCTTCGGGGCATCATCCAAGAACTTTATACCAATTATTACCTTTTCTTCGTATGCAAACACACACAATTAGCTCCAATAACGCCATATTGTGATATAGATTTCCCGGAAGTTGGGGTTATCACATCAGTTGACAAACGAACGATGGTTCGTCTGTGTGTTGTATCGTATCTTATTGAAACAGTGTGGAAACGAGAAGATTGGAAAGATGTCGTTTTTACAGAGCCATTTTGGTTAGATTACACAACATTACATAACGACGAGAGACTTTCGAGAAAAACCATCATGAGGGATGTTACAAAAGTCGTGATGAACGAGTTGAAACATTTGTTTTATCGGAACTAGAAAACATGAATGACAAATGACACAGTCTGTGATATTGCAGAAATGATTTTTAAATCTAAAATTTTTAGAATTACTACATTTAATGCAATATGTAAACGGAATGGGTTAAAAGTGCAGATCTTAACCATTTTTGAATTTCCGTTTAGGAAACTTCAGTGAGGTCCTGTTCAGATCATGTTGTCTTCTAAACTATTTTTTCGCAAACATGTACTTTTTCTTAAACATATGATACTGACACAAGTTTGTGATAAAAATGTCGTTTGAATTCTCCCTACAACGCGTGTATAGTGCAAAAGGAAAAGTGGTACATTCAAGATGTCATCATTTTGTTACCGAAACGGTCCGTTTTGGTAACAAGCGTAATCGAGTGGAGCACCAGTGAGCAGTTTTGAAAATCATAATCATGATGATTAACAATTGACACTATCATTCAAAGAAGCATGTCCATGATTTGATACTACAGGTATATACTGTTATATCAGGCCTACATGTAACCGTAAAACCTCTTTTAACTCCAATGTCCCTGTACATACGTGATATACATTGTACAATATGAACAAATACAAGAGAAACTGTGAAGTGGACTATATTAATCCAAGGCTTGGTGTAATATTTGAAAATAGAATACTTCTTCAATCAGATGAATAAAGATGGCGACTTTGTTAAACAACTCAACAAATTATTAAACTTTACATATAGGTTTAAAGAGGTCGACACCGTTATGAGGAGGTATAATATAGAGAGGTTATAAGCTTGATATGTTTTTCACAACGTAAACGTGAACGGAAAATATTTAATTTTGGTGATTGGTCATACGTATAGGTTGGCGTTTCAATTTTATATGCAAGCTTGTTTTAACTCCAAATACTACCAAAATAGCTTGATTGAATTAAATATGTACCAATGACATATTACACGTTGCGGTGTAGTTCAGGCGCATTTACATTTCTTTGAATAAATCCCTTACATGCAGTACGAATATAGAATGTTTTGACATTTTGTGATGTACAAGTGCATTCAAAGAAAACATATACATAACAAGTATATTCAGGAAACACAAAAATCATTTCCGATCGCACCCCAGTTCTTAGCATAAACACTGAAGCTGAACGCGGTTATTTAAGCGAGACAACTATGTGCAATTATATTCGCGGAGCGCGCTCGGTGCGTTACACGTTTTCGTTTCGATTTAAAATGCAAGCTTAACCTCCCTATTGTGATACATTTTACGAATATTGTTTATCTTTGCGTGTTAGTCCCTGGCACATAAGTTGACGCGATTGCGTTGATTAACGGCGTTGGAATTATGTTTGCCTGGTCTATCTAATGAATGCAGGCGTTTGTTTACGCAAGGGCGCTAAAATGGACCTTTTCCAAAAAATAGTTTACCCCTTGTCAATTTTCAAATCATTCGAGGATAATAATAAGTCTATAACTATAAAACATAGTTGAGTAGGTCATTATTTGCAGATTAATATAATAAAGATAAGTTAATCATGATTTTAATTTTGAGTCGTAAGGACAAGTAGATCTAAAGAGTCCTCTTGACTTATTATTTACCATCGATCTTGAGTCAATACATTTCCAACGCCTTTGGAAGTCTACGGTCTGTCCTGTTCCTATGAAGTCTCTTAAGGGGTTCTGATGCAAGTAATCATCTCATTATTGAAGGCATTTGATTTATATCATTATCACAGAAATGTTTTAATAATGCATGGGACCTTCATTTCAACAATAGGGGTATTGGTCCATATGGGGATGTATTATGCAAAATGTAATTATGCATTGTATTTGGGAGTATTGTCGTTGTACTAGTATTGTCAATGGGAGTATTAATCCAAATACACATGTACTTTACCTTACCATATTTTGATTTCTAATCAAATTCTTTTACCAATGGTACATTTTATAGCATTTAATAATTCATTAATATAGGAGTTTCTAAAAATCAATCAAGTGAAATTTTAGTGGCCCATGCCCCTTAAAAATGACAATGATCACCAAGGAGAATTATTTCTTCAACATGGCAAAAATATTCCATACTCGTTCAAGTTAATGCTAGGATGACAAAATAATTAGGTTAATGATACACTGTAGTACAAAGTGAGACGATTTATCATTCTATTTCTTTTACTATGTGTCATAAGTAGGTTAATAATACACCCGCTACCAGGAATGTCTAAAACACCAACATAGAATAAATTACGTATTCACACATAGCAAGGAAGAATACAGGATATTAGCCATTCTTCAGATACATTGTTCATTACAGAAAACTGTAACAAGGCAAAATAACAACCTTGTGTAGAAAAACTAAATACTATCATTGAATAAATAAAATATCACTCAAATAATAAAAATATTATCATTAGCCAATTTGGTGCTTATAAAGTGCTTTTCAGCTATGCAGAACACATGCAGTCTGCAATGTGAGTAAATAAGAATGTTTTTGAAAATGAGCAATACATTTTCTCATTTGTGCCCTGAAACTGAAGAGTGGCATCACAACCACTTTATGACACTGACATGAACGTATGACAGTATGACGTACATCTGGTCTTTCGCAATGAATAGCTATGGACACTCGAATGGACGGTAAGTACCATTGTCCTATATGTAAACTATTAACAGGTCACACAATATAAAACTTGATGGAAAGTATATTTAAAGAATGATATACGAATTTGATACATTGATTAGAGAATGTACAAATTGATACCCTCGTATTAAATTAAGAATGTTATACTGTTTGGTTCTTAGAATAGATGAGTGGGATACTATTAGTAATAACGGTGATAAACACACATAAAGACCATGAAGAGAACAATTGAATTTGAAGAAGTAAAACACTCGTGTCAAAGACACGCATTATTTGAGAGCAAGAAAAATAAGATGTCAAATAATCGGTGTGCGAGTGCCATGCCAAAATGTTGGTAGCACGTAACAACTAAAGCTTGTATCGACTTCACAGTTTGTGTGACAAACTCTCGAAATGAGATAAGGACCTAGGACCACTCAGAGAAGATGGCTGTAAATAAAACATGTTCTTCATGAAGTGTGGGCCTAACTTGTATGTTATCTCTTCTTACACACCTGATGGTGTAGTTTTTACATTTTAAAATACTTGGACAGAACATGTTAAATATAATTGGTGATACCGGTGCTTAGCCTAATAATCTTCCAGATTTATTGCATAACACGAAAGAGAAAATTGAAGAATCGTGTCGAGAAGATTTTGAGAGAAAGATCGAAACTATTCGATTGTTTACAAAGAGAATACGATAAGTGAGGGTCACTAGAATATAATTTGATAAACAGGCAATAGCGGAAACATTGCAATAAAACATTAGAGTTAGTCAAGCTGACATGCGGGGCACTAACGAGGGCTTTTGACAGTTAACATCGACGATATGGATTACAAGGTGCCTGATCGCGAGGGGCAATTTCAATTAGAGCGTCCTACGTCATCAGCGTCCGTAAACGGTTCAATAAGAAATGAAACATTACGCTGTTCGGATTGCAGACGGAAGCGATTAAATGAATTACAGAATAAATGTAGGAAAATATTTCCCATTGACACTAGGATGCGAAATCAATCACGTATTCCTTTCAACACCGAGGAATTGCCAGACAGGTTGGTTTAATGCTTTTTTATTAACTTTTCGCAATTTCATTGATTACTCTTTTGGGATAGAATTCAAGCAGATCCCCGAGTGACACGGATTCTATGAACACATGTATTCTTAAATGCACTTACCATATTAAAAATGATAAGTATAAAATTTGACTGCTTTGTTTGATTGTATTAATTGTGCAAAGCATTTTATTTCTTAACTCTCTATTGCAGTAAGAACATACAAGTAGTTTTATTGTATGAGAGTTTTTGTCTGAAAAATCCTTCTCTGTTAGAGGTGTATAGTGTCGATTTTATGATAGACGTAGCTATATTGAATGTGAAAGAATGCATCTAATATTAATTTTTGTGTTGCAACGAAGGCGATGTGTTTTAGACCTGAACTAAATTGTTCTTATATTTTACACGTATGTATACATTCCATAGATTTTTAAATTCCTGTCCAGGATGTAAATATTGACTCCCTTTTTATTTCGTCCCTAATGGATCGAATGAATGAAGTATCAACTGAGATATCATAATGCTATCAATTATTCATTGATAACTGCCACGAATAAATGTGTATTTTGTTAAAAACGCAAGAACCTATCAATTAAAGAAAAGGAGGGTTTGTTTAGTGCAAGGTCAATACTTGATGTTCTGTAAGTCTTGTCTATAATATCCTGCGAGTCTTTATGTCAATTGATATATTTCTATTTATTTATTTGGCTACAGTATATTGGCAGTCTGCAAACGTATATATTGCATTTTTCTCTTATTATAAACAATAGTAAATCGATGCTACTCAAGAAAATATTTGTGTTTTGGCCATTGTGTAATACTGGTAATCGATAAATATAACATAAGCGATATTGTTAGAGCTCGTAAGGGATAACACAATACCTCAGAAATCCCCGCTTCCAGTATTTACCTCATTAATATTTGTATTTACCAAGAAATGGATGATACGACATCGGATACCCGATCGTGACTGATCATATAGAACCAAGGGTTGTTACTTAAACTATTTAATCTTACATGGAACTGCCATTATACTATTAAGGACGATCCCATCCCATGAATATTAAGTAGATGGATACCTTTGGAATAGCATGGTAGTTCAACATAAAATATTTGGGTGGGGTGTATATGTGTTTAAAAACTATAAGATGCCATATGGTCTTATGGCTCTGGAATGTATTTAATGATACCCGAGCGTTGTTCGAGGGAGGGGTGTAAGACTTGGTTTTCCGTGTGATAGATCTAAACTTGGGCTATTGGGGCTCGCTTTTCACATACCTGGTTGTGCTCTAAGATATTTCCCTTTCTTGCTAGCTATGCTTTGTAATATACTTTGGGCTTTTCTCATTTGCCACATGTGATTACAGTACATATAGATACATGTACGTCTCTATGTAAGCCCTGCCATTCATGGTATGGGTTTTCCATGGGTTGCGAACTTACAACACGAGAATAAGATATTTGTTCTTCGAATGGCAATTATAAAAAGTGTTTAAAGGTTCAATAGACATTAAGGGGAAACTTAGAATTGCACTTGGTTGTTCTTGCAGTCAATTTACGTCATTTCATCGGGTACATATTTGAAATATTTCCATCGATGATTAATAAAGTGCTATCTTAGAACCTCTTCTTGTTGCCATAAAATTGATACGCACTCTTAAGGAGTACTCAGTTCTTTAATATCTTATATTGTCGTAGTCAGGGTGTTTATCTTTACGATTACAATGTCGTAGAGTGCTATTTACTTCCTATGTAACAAACCCCATAATAACAAATACTCTCAGACTAAAATGACACATCTTAAGTATCATAAAATCCTTTGTAAACACTTGTCTTCAATTAGCGCTGACTTATTCGAAAGAATCAGACATAATATACATGTAAGGTCAAGTTGACAAAGGATGAACTTTTCAATCACTTATGCAGTAAGTAGATGAGCGGACCCCCCCCCCATATCGCCAGGCTATATTCATTGGTATTTTCTGAATGACATGCTTGAACCCATGAAGATTTGCCCAACTTCTCCCTAATCGTACCGTTCAATCAAAGCCGGCAATTTTTTATAGATAAATGTAGGAGAAGCGTTTCAATTAATGTTTTCAACATTTCTCAAAACTGCAAATTACTTGATTTTGCTTCCGTTTTTAAAACATAGGCTTTCAATATAAATATTTTGGAAAATTGATGAATCAGCCAAAATTCTTGGAAGACATATGTACCACAATTATGCCTTGGTCACATTTGCTCCGATTTTCACTACAGCGCTCGGCCGATTGAGTATTTTGTTCAAAATTGAATACAATATTGAACAAAACACTCAATCGGCCGGGCGCCGACCGATGGATCGGAGCATATGTGGCCAAGACATTACCAGCGTATCTGGGCGCCGTTCTCTTTATTGTTGCTAGTCACGTGGTCGACGAATAAATGAAACAAAAACAAGGCCAATGACCAATTTATCTTTACCCTTGTAATTTACATGATTCATAAAGTTCGCGCGCATCTCAAGAGCTGTGTCTTATCGAAGAGTTAGAATGAGAGGGCTTAAAGGTTTCTTACCTGTCACTTTTGTAAAGCATTTTAGAAGAGATTTGTTAAAGTGCGAAAAAGAAATCAATTTTGACCTCTTCAAGAAATTCGTCTAGTTATTTTTATCAGATATGATATCATGATTGTATTATGATTTTTTGGCAAAATCTTTGACGTAAACCAAGTCTATTCGTTATACGTACACACCATGATATCATCACATGATAAAATTCCCAGTCTGCGTTAGGTGAAAAAGTTTCGATGAAACTGACCAACCAAATCTACCAATCATTGAAGTTAAGTTGATCTGGAATGCCTACCATTACCATGGTCTGCCCCGAGTGGTGAAACTGAACTATACACGCCCTTGGCTGTTCATTTTAATATTTCTATATAGATATATACATGTGATTTACCAATTTCAGAAAGCTTATCGGCACCGTGTGCGTAGGGGTAGTTTACTCTCTGATATGGTTTAGCTGATGTTGTTGTGCCATTTGCCTGACATTACGTATACGTGATTGACTGTTCCTGCTTGAAACATGAACACATTTTTTGTATAAGTCGTAACATGTACTTAAGGTGTCAAATAAAGTTCAATATCAAAGTTAAAAGATACATCGAGAATGCGGCTCATTTGCTTGCCACGGCGCCTTTATAATTACCTAACTAATACATACACTCCCCTCCGTAAGTTTGGTAACTGGAAGTCCATTTTTGAATCTTTTATCATAGCCTGGGCCTGCTTATATTTAAGCGATTTGAAAAAATTTGTAAAATATGTCATTTTTTAGAACTACTGTAGTTGACGAACAGAATAAAGGTTCAAACATTGACATATTATTAAATGATATCAGATGAAAGCTTCATTTTGCCCTCTTAGATTTTGCCAAACATAGAGTGTGGAGAGTATGTCGCCCTTGTTAATGGCCTAGACTTTTGATTTAATTCAATAACAAATGCTTGCAAAGCACGAATCATTATGCAAGCTCAATGTCGCTGATTGATACGTTTTTCCAACAAGAAACGTGAATTAGCAAATGATATAAAACTGCAAATGCATTGTTTCTTATGGATTATCATCAAATTATTCATATTACATTTGTTTTAGCAGTTTTGAGATGAGTAAAGTACACATAACAGTTTATGGTATCTTTGGTAAGTGTGATTCATTCATTGCAACTACGCTCTTCATCCAATGACGTAAACATTTTATATAAGAGTTCTCAAACTTATTTAACCATTGGATAACTTATAGGTTCCTCGACAATCAAATGACAATTCGACAAATGATGAACATTGTTATTGATTACTCATTTTTCATGAACGAGTTATTTTTGGGAAAACAATTTATGAGTATAGTAGCTCTACAGAAGATGAAATTAATGAACTTTTCGAACTCACAGCAACCAATGTATTTGACACGCAATATCATTTTTCACAAATCTTTTCGAGGAAACAAACCTGAAGCAATGTTGAAATTAATAAAATAAACAATGAATCGCGTGATATATACCAAATGCAATATGAAAACAAATACCTGCGTCTTTGCTGTGAGTATCCGAATGAATAAATGTGTGATAACACAGAAAACAGTGTTGATCGATTATTAATAAATTGTGATCGAGTTGAAGTAAGTGAATTTTTTTTACTTTTTTACTTATTACCATTGGGTAATTTTGCATTCGTTCGACTTAGCTCTGTGCGCAGGGTAATTGGGTAACTTGTTTGACTATAATATCAAATGGTGTACCTCAAGGGTCATATGTAGGCTTATTTATAAGTTGAGGGAGAATATTAGAAGAGCATTTTGATCTGATATAGAATCACAGTGGTAACAGGATTAAGATATGGCCATAGATGTTGAGTCATACAATATACGAATTGTAATCGAAGAATGAAATATTTTTTAACGACAGAATTTAAAAATTAAAATCACTCCTAGTCGATCACATCGCATTTATATGAAATGTGCGTTTAACTTTAAAAAAACACCTAGCATCATTATAAAATTTGATTCCTTTAAATAGAAATGAAAATATTTGAAGAATAGTACACTATTTATTGAACGACCCTTGTACAGTACGTATCAAAAAAACGCAACAGATTGTTATCTCGGAAAAGCACAAAACCAGTGATAACAGCATTGATTTCATTCAATGCACCATAAAGCCATGTGTCTCCTCTTTACAATGATATATCATTCATTGATATTTGGTCATGGTTGGGCGAGTAATCATTCCATTTGCCAAGAAGGCCAAAATTAGCTTTTGACCAAGTTATAAACATCGCAAAAGTCAGTGTACGGAGCCCGATGCAAAATTGGAAGAAAACATAAAACCAATGCTGACTGCATCCTTTTCATCCAATGTACCAAAAAGCCAAATTATTCCTCTTTGCAATTTGGAATATCATTCATCCACAGAGAGTCATGGCTGGCCGAATAATCATTAATTTTGCAAAGTGTGGCAAAATTCAGCTCGGACCCAAGTTTTAAACATTGCAAAAGTCAGTACAAGGGGCATAGGGGCTATTGGAAGAAGGTGTGACAAGTGTGGCATAGACAGTGAAGTGTTCATACTCATACTCTTGCAAGAATACATCCTATAGCCCTCCAAATTGCCACCACTTCCTTGCACACAAAGATGTGCTCATCTGTCCACGTCATGAATGGTTCAGCCCTGAGTCATCTTTGGGTTAAAGCAGAGAAAAGCAGCCCATGTGCAATTCTTTCTTGAGGTTTTGCAATATCTGGTGGAGGAATTGTGAGCACAGATGCTCCTGAGATAGCTCCAAAAGAAAAAGTCACAACAATTGAAGTCAGAGGAACTTCCATTGGCACTTAGCCCTTGCACTGATTTTTGCAATATCTAAAACTTGGCCCAGAGTCGATTTTGACCCACTGTGCAAATGGAATGATTTCTCACCCAACCATTACCACATGTGAATGAATGACATATCATTGCAAAGAGGAGAGACGTGGCTTTATGGTATATCAAATGAAATTCATGTAGTCATCACTAGTTTTGGAATTTTACGAGATAACTACTTGTTGCGTTTTTTGATACGCCCTGTATATCCACGCATTCTAATCGACATTATAATAATCATCTATTTAGTGCTTAACCATTATGAGTTATATTGGAACTATTATCATTCTCATTATTTCTATAATTTTATTCAAATCATTTACAATGCGATACTACACCTTTTCTTTGCGATATTTACGTAAACGACAAGGCCCATGTCATGCTCTACCGGGCGTTTATACTCTGACAATATGTTTGTTCAAATCTATCAGGTATTTCAATTGAATTCCATTACACCAAATTGCGTTTGCAAATGCTGTAAATGTAAGTATTGTAGACAGTTCACCGTGTACCCTTTACGTGCTTTAAGTTATGAGTACATTGATTACGTTGAAGTACGTTTAGATTAATGGGTAGATCAAACATAAATTTTATTATTGTTTGTTCAATTGCCTATTGTTTCAAAAAGTTAATGTTGTCAGATGGTTCTGTGTGATTTCATATTACCCCACGGGGAGTAATGTAATATACGGAGATAAGCCCTAGAGGTCGGGGACTAAAGGCGTTACGACATAAAACTAAAACGCGATAACGATAGCTCATATAACGGCAATAAAAGCCAGTCCAACCTTGATTTTATAACGTTAACCATAGTTGTTAATTTAATTATATTGCCCCCTTCCCAAGGTACAGTTGTATGTCGTCGCACTGGGGGAGAAAGAACTGATTCAATTTTGAACTGTAGTCACTCTGAGGTGAAGAGTTGAACGTAAATCTCATGTTCACGATCCTTTGTTAAAGTCCCCTAAATCAATTAAAGTCCCGGTGATAAAACATTTTAAACTTCAATTTGTTTCTTTTGTTACGGAACCACTTTTCATGTCTTGGAAAATAGCCCCACTGAATATAAATATTTAACAAGAATGAAATGAAGAATTATTGATGTTGTGATAATGGATTTAATTCGAATAAAGATCAATGCTGTCTACGAATCTATCCGTTCATGTGTTGAATTATCGGATTACGCAATGGCGGTGCATAACTTATCCGATAGCGCCACCTCATAAGATTACAATATCATAAATTCTTGCTTCTGACTGGTGATTGGAGATCACGTGATGTGAACCGAGAACTCTAGGAAAATACCTCTCTCAGATTAGATGATATCACAACATGTATAGTATTCTCCAAACTACAAACTATAACGTTGCTTGACACTGGATTGCACATTAACGTATTTGATAGAGTTCTTACAATTGTTCAACTATTTGATTTCAAATCAAAACAAACAGATTATAAATAAAGATAGATGTTTATGTAATGTATAAAGGTGAACGGCAAATGAATACGCTACGAAAAATACAAAGTCTACGAAGGATTCAAGTAGAAAACGAGCATTGGAATATCGCTATGTCTCGGTAGTGTTAGACTACAGTATGGCAATTGTTGATTTTTTGTTGTTTGGGATTTAAACCTAGGAAGGAAGCTACAGGTAAGATTGGTGTGATAGTAAGCCTATATAAGGCAACTTACTGAATGTGATATTTCCCGACCAGTAAATGAGCATTTTATACACTGATATGTAGTGTATGCATGTAATGGTTTTAGTTGTGACACTACAAGTGACTTATTAGAATTATAAAATATCACATGATGATCTTAGGTAAAAAATATATATTTGTATAATTTTCATGAAAGTGTGTTTAATCAACTTATGAATGGCAGATGAATACACCGAGGGGCGAGGGCGTTAGGGCAAGGTTACCGTAGTTTAATTAATAGTGAATAATAGACATTAATTTAAGTTTTATAACGTTGGTATATTTGTTGTTAATTTGAACTTTATACAGCCGTGGTAGTAAAGGTCAAGATTGCGAAGATGTTCTTTTAATATCAGGATCTCCCTGGCCAAAAAATCTTTCAAAATCATGCAGTTTTTCACCATTCTGAGCACTTTTTAAGTGATTTTGGCCATTTTGGACCAAAATTGTCACAATTGAACCCCCTGGAACTTTTCAAAAAGTGAACCCCCCCCCCCCTTGGCAAATCCTGGCTACGGGCCTGAATATATTGCACTCAAACTCGATCAAAGCAATCTGATACTCATCACAAATTTTTCTCACAGCATGCACACAATATTAATCGTACATTCTCTTTAACATGAGCTCAACTGTCATGGAATGATAAAATGTATTGTATGTACCATACATTTATTGCCCTTAATGTCCTTACATTCCATCATAGGTATTTTATTGTATTGTTGCTGTAATATACATGTATGAACACAATCACTGGTGATACCATCTCCGACCATTTATTACGCTTTGTATCACAAACTCATATTCATTTACTAGAATATGCGTGACTGAGATGGCTTTATTTTGGGCCAAAGGGGAACTGAAAACCTCCCTACAAACCCCTACAAACGATGTTGAATAGGCCACTGTATATAATCCAACAAGTTCGTATCTACGAGATGTATCGATTATTTTGATTGTTGGATAGTTTTCGAGAAAACAATGCGCTTTTGTTTGCTTAGAAGGCTTATGATATAAACTGTTTTTCTTTAGAAACTAGAAGCGTACGATGAAGCTATTGTAGTAATTTCTAAAGATAGCTATTGTCTTTGGCAAGAATGACACCATGGTGTCCGCTTTCTGGAAAATTACTTATCGATGGTATAAACGGAGAGAACTGCCAGCATATTTTCCTTTGTAAACATTTTTTGTCTACGATATTTTCTTTTCTTTCAGACCGTCAACAGCGCGTTCATTTAGCAGAAGTTCGAACAATGGCGATGATGTAGCGTCCGTTGCTGAAATGGAACGTAAATCAGACATCACAAGTGTAGCAAGCCTATGTGATTGGTCACCCATGCGAGATAATCCCACAAAAAGACTCTCAAAGCCGAGTAGGTTAACGACAGGCAGGAATAAATACCTAAAGCCCCGATCATTGACGAAAGGGGAACAAGAAATTATTGTCGGTATATGCTCAAATCGAGGCTTGAAAGACAAAACTATGGCAGGATCGTCGTCCATTACGTCACATAAGGACGCGTGGAATTATCACAAAAAATCTTCAAAAACACATCCATTAGTTAAGCTTCATGAGAATGAGAGTGTAGTTTTCGAAGATGATAGTACGGATTATGGAATTCAAAGCCACTACCAAGAGTGCCGAGTGTGCACCAATCAGAGCAAATATTATTGCGCCGATTGTGGTAAACTCACAGCAAAAGTATTGACCGAGGAGGAACGTTTGTCAAGAAACTGTGGTACCACTCCGCCGAGTAGTCCAACTGAAGGAGGTTCAAAAAACTTAAATTCGAAACAAATAATTCCGCCAATCAAATCTTCTGCTGGAGCGACATATGTCAAAAGAACGCATCACAAGCGAAATAATAATTCGTCAAAAATGGCTGTTAAAACTACTATGAACATATTTTTGCCTAAGCTAGATAGTACAAGTGATACCAATGACCCTAATGTAGTAATAGAAGAGGATAGTTTAGAACCCCCTGTCAACTCACCGTCTATTGATGACCTCACTTCAAAATATAGTCTCAAAGACAACATGAATATGTATCGTTATAAAATCGATTCCGATGATTGTGGTAGACCAAACCCAAACGATAAAAGTATTTTTGTTTGGAATCCCATGGATGTTGACTGGGAAAGTTTCTCGATGTCTGGTCGAAGGCCGAACTCTTTAGACACAAAGCGGTATTTAATGCAGAACCGGAAACGCCATCAGTTCGGTGCAAGTAGCGTCCCTGTGCAACGCGGTGACAGGAATGAGTTGAACACTGAACTGACTGAAATGGTGAAAACATCTTCCGCCCCTGTCGTTAAACAGTATATAATGAATGACCAGATAGTGAGAAAAGATGCTTCTGCTGCCATGAAAGAGTCGGAAAGACCAAATACACCATCAAGTATAGAAAGACAAACTGGACATGTCGCACTAGCGATATTCAAACAATCTAAGAAGAGACAAAATGAAACCAATGCTAAAGCTTTGCAGCAATCCACTGCTAATGAGTTAGTAAAAACGAAAACGTTGTATTTTCAGGATCCATTTGCTACGCAATCTGGTATTGGCACCAGGTCTCAGACTCTACCCTAAACGCATGACTGTAGAGCTAGGAACACAAGAAGTTGTTACAGAAATGTAGATCTAAACTTATTTAGCACGTGCTCAATGACTGGCCGTAGAAGACTTAGAGAAATATTTGCAATTAAAACAGTGCAATAGAAATACTGCAAGTGATCAACCCAAGTGATTAATCGTAACGTACATTTGTACGGGCGATTGGTCATACGCATAGGTTGGCGTTTCGATTTTATATGCAAGCTTAAACTCCCTAATATTGGCATTACACAACGATAAAATATATTGGGTTTTTGTATTTAGTGACAATTATTATGTCACTGCTAAAATACAATTCACACATAGCTAGGCAATGTGTGATAAAGTCAAGCCAACCAGACCACGCAATTTCATATAACTGCATTGCATTAAATATTAATATAAAAACCCACCAAAGGCCATTTTTTTATTCTTTTGATTCTATTGAAACTATTTAAACCGATAAGCCGATCAATTTCATAGTTGAGTAAAAATCTATAAATAGTATAAGGAATAACAAGCCAAGGTCAAGGTGACAAATTTACTCTGCAAAAGTTTCTTTGAAAATATATTATTCGAAGTCATTTCGTATTTTAAGTTATTGTATGAAATATTTTGCAATGTGTCAAAAGAATCTAAACCCAAGACTCAATGCATTGTGACTGATTCATTCTACCCAGGAGTTGTTTCCTTTTAAACTTAGCATCTCGTACAAAGTTTGAAACATCATCTTAGAATGATTAATTATCAGTCCAAAACACAGAGTCCGGGCTTCACTCACTATATGCATACGATAATATTTTGGGATTATTGCACTGTCGCATACCACACGTGCATTATATGAATATGCATTATAACATATAGTATCTTTTTTGTGAATATAAATCTGATGAATCACATGGACGATCAAGTTGATGCATTGCGATACTGAGACCTGACATTTTTATTCTATGTTTTTCCATGAAAAAATCGGACATTATAAGCTACACTGTATATTCGAAATTATTGGAGTCATTTACTTAAAAATTAAGAATTTCCCAAATTCATGCATCGTCCTCTTGCTATGTCGTCATTATATCTATGGTTTCGGACATGTTGTGTGTAAATTCGATTGCCGGAGCCATATATGATCATACAAAATCCAAAACAGAGACATCTATACCTGGATACCCAGATGATTAACACTATTCTCAAACTGAATGTGTTACTGGTTTCAAAGACGTCTAATGAATATATCAAGAAAAGGAGCGCCCAGGGAATGACAGGACATGGGCTTTCAAGATTCATTTGTAACAAAGATGGTCCTCCGGATGCTCGATTCATCTACACATGCGTGGAATCACTATGGAGGAACTCGACAAGCCGGTTACGAAATGGCGTAGCGATCGAGTGGAAAGTTAGGCAATGAAGATTTTAGTTTTTTCAATAATTTCACGAAATTGACAAGATATTCACTATAATTTAATCGGCACAAACTTATGCCAGCGTCATGTGTTTCAGAAAATCCATGCATTTGTGAAAGAATTAACTCCTGATACATTTGCTATTTTGTTACCGATGTTGATCCGTTTCTCAAACACCTTGTCGAGTTCCTCTCCAGTTCCTCTCCAGCCTATAAAATATAGACGTGTCGCAAAAAGGTGGCGCATTTGTTTTTAAGGGTATCGCGTGAATGTAACTTTGATTCCCAGGATTATAAGATAATATTCTAATTAAAGTTATATATCATTTTAAAACTGTTTCGATGAAGTTTTTAGATCAAATGCACTCCGTTCACAATTGACCTTTTGCGATCAGAATTCAGGAATTTTGTTTATGGATACTGTTGTCACGTATTTAGTCTTATTGGTGTGACGTCATATAGAAATGATATTAGAAATGATGGAATCACGAAATGGCGGACACGTGGCAGTTTTGAGCTAAAAATATTGTCGTTTCTTTTATGAAAACCATGGGTCGGATATTTACCAGGTATGCCGATTTGACTAGATCATGAGTTTATCTATATATGTGCGAAGTTTGGGTGAAATTCATATTAAACATCGATGCCTATAAGCGCCCCCCGTTTTTGTCAAAATCGGGGGGCGCTTAACCGCTATCTAAATCATGTCAGTAAGATCTTAGACTTGGTATATGCTTAGCATGAATGTTGATCTAGTCAAATCGAACGCTTTCGTGAAAAATTAATCAATAAAGCATGAAATATAGAAGATAATCTCTCAAAATCAAGCATCTAAAGCTTGCTGGCCTAATTGTGACGTCACTAAAAGATAGAATCCATTCGGTGATCGCAAATCGTCAATTCTCGCCCTTTCTTTTTTTATTATTAGTTTTTTACCAAAACATCTGGCAAATATCCCCTGTTGACACGTTACATTTTGAATTATTTTTCGTCTTTAAACGCTCATAACTCAAACAATATATGACTATTATACTTATTTTTCGTCTTGATAAAGGTAGATAGAAGTTTTACTTCAAGGGATGAATTTTAGTAAGCGTCCCATATTGTGACGTCATAGAGTTTGAAAAATAGAATCTGTTGACAGCGACCTTTTTTGCTCATTTTTGTTACCTTCAACTTTTCAGGTGTACATTAAACAAAAAATACGAGATCAATTTTTAATAAATCATACATGATTATTTTGCTCTTAAACTCTAGTTTATTAATAAATAGTTGATTTTGTTCGCAAAAGTATGTGTTTTCTGTTGTATGTGGAAAAGTGGAGGACGAAAGGTTTTCAAAATTCATTAAAATAGGGCTAATTTACGCCATTCGCCTATTTTCAAGCACAGCAACGCGTATATTTATTTCACCTAAAATATCAATTGATTCGTGTTTTATGATGCTCCTAGCCCATTAACAATATATATATATATGATATCAGAGTTATTCGTCAAAAATGTTTTGAGATATAGAGGTAAATGTGGAGGACGAAAGGATTTTCATTTACGCCACAAAATGTGTAACAATGCGTGTGCAACCTTTTTGCGACACGTCATAGTGTGTTGGATCTAAGTATAATATATAGGCATTGTGTTACGTATAATTTACGGCTTCATATATCAACACGATTACTGGAAGTAAACGTCCGCTTGACATATCAGCAGCGATGCGAGACGCATAGTGTTTATTGATATTTTTCATTTTAATTTTTTATTAAGAAATATTTATTACTTCATAAAAATATCATAATATAAATCCCTCCAGTCGCCCGAAGGCATTATAGAAGGGTACATTAATAGCACAAAATACAAAATTATGATTAGGTCAAGGGGTTCACTCTGCACTTGTGGTTGGCCATGGGGTGGAAATATTAAGTGTGGATAATATAAAATAAAGTATAGTATATATAGTATGTAGGGAGGGGAAAACGTTATAGGTTCATTTCAATGAATTCAGCGATCAAGGTTTGGAGATGTGAATTTAGATCAAGGGAAATATTGTCAGAGCCATGTTTCATTAAGTAAAGGAGATCATTCTGAGTTAAATGATTATCTGATAGTCCAGTTATATTAATAATATCAGTTTTTAATTTTGTTATCTTTTCTTTAATAAGGGGACACTGAAAGTTTTTCCGTCTGGGGGGCTCCACATTTACAGTTTGGATTCTCAACATAAGTAAAGTTGTGAGCATAAAGTTGGGCTCTGAAAAGTAGATCAGCTCTAAATTGGTTAATCAAAATTTCACGAGATCTTTTTAGATTGAGTTTGGAGGTGCTAATAAAACTTTCTTGGTTTTTAAACAAAATCTTTTGGTGTTTTTTAAAGGATCGGAGAGTTTTCAAATTACGTAATCGTTTTGGTAGTCGTGACCAGTTTGATATTGCTGATGGAACTGATGAATTCAAAAACCTCTTTGAGCACCTGGTTGGTAAGTTAAAGTCAAATCTATCACGCAGATTGCGAGTTCCCTGATTTTTGAATTTATCAAAAATTTCATCTAAAAAGAGTGGATTTGGACCATTTACAACTTTGAACATAAAGTTGTTAATTTGCATTTTTCTTCTTGTGTCTAGAGAATGCCATTGAAGGAGGTTCAAAACTTTATCAGTATTACTGCCATGAAGACAACCAGAGCACAAAAGAGCAGCCTGATAATAAATTTGATCAAGTCTATTTAGAAGATATTTTGATGCAGTGTTAAAAATAGCAGTACCATAATCAAAATGAGGTCTTATAAATGAGTTGAAAAGCGTTTCCAGATCTCTTGAGTTTAACTTTGTTTTAAGGTTCTTCAGGGGATTTATCATTTTCCTAACTTTATTATATATTTCTTCAATATGGTTTTGATTTGTCAGATTATGATCAAAAGTATATCCAAGGTGTTTATGTACATTTGTTCTTTCAATTTCAGAGTCACTTAGAAAGGATTTGCTTACATTTTGTGGATTTGCTCTAACTCCATGGAAAATAACTTCACAGCTCTTTTCTGGTTTAAATTGTAATTTCCACAATTTGGACCAATTTTCTATCTCAGTTAGATCAGATTTAACTAGTTAATCAATTTCTTGGGGCTTTTTGAGGTCAAAAATAAAATGAAGAGATGTGTCATCTGCATAGATATAGCATTTGGAGTTTACATTATCAGTATGGTCATTAATGTATAAAATAAATAGAAGTGGACCTAAAATTGATCCCTGTGGCACGCCACAGTTTAAGAAGCCTGCTTCAGTTGTTACTGATGACTCACCAGCAATGTTTACAAAAAACGCCTATTTGTCAGATATGATTTTAATAAATTTAGAAATTGTCCATGAATACCGTAGGCCCTTAGTTTGTGTAGAAGTAAGTTATGCGGAACACGGTCAAACGCAGCTGCAATGTCAAGAAAAATGGTTTTAGAGGCTTTGCCTTGGTCAAAATTGGTAAGTAAAAAATACTTGAACAAAAAATCATTTGAGATTAAGTGTTTTTTGATTCGATCAGCTATAATTTTCTCAAATAATTTTGATAATGTATTGAGTAATGTTATGGGTCTGTAGTTACTAATCTTGGATTTGTCCTGTTTTTTTAAAAATAGGACATACACTGCCAATTTTCCAAGTATCAGGAAAAATATTCTTGGCCATTAGTTTGTTGAAAACTTCAGATAGTGGTTTAGAAAGTGAGTGTGCAGTTAAATTTAACATTTTATTTGTAATTAATATCTATTTATATCTATT